CGGACTTGAAAGCAGGTGCAGATCTCAACGTTGATATTATCTCCGAGTTTCCTTTAGCGAATGTGGCATGAATTACGTGACGTCATAATATTACGTAACATCATTGTACAGAAAATAAATGTTATTTTTTTAATTCAGCCTGTCATGTTTTTACGGTGGTAGGGACACCCAGCAGCCTCGGCTGTTGCACGAATGGGCAGGCTCGTCCGGGTAAGTACCACGACCTGACAGAAGACGTAAAGCGGAAGTAGAATGATTTCGCGTTTCGTCTGGTGAGTGAGGTGGCCGGAGCCCAATTTTCAAAAGATTGTCAACGCATCTGCAACCCTCGGGTGTAGCAGATGTCCATGGGCGGCGGTATTCACTTAACATCAGGTGAACCGTCTGCTCGTATGACAACTTTTCACATAAAAAATATCTGTTATTAATAGATTGAGCTTAAATTTATGTACTTACACATTTTTACTATATTACTGAATCCGGAAAGTAGACTAAGATTTTTATAAAGGAGTTTTTATAAAGGAACAATTATTTCTAATTGTTCCTTTATAAAAACTTTATTTTATATAAAGCATAACGTTCGCAATTATCGGTGCACAGAGAAAAAAAAAAATGCAGTCGTGAAGGCTGCCGCCAGAATTAAGAACTTAAAAGTATGACATACCAAAGATTTTTCAAATAAATTTTATAGTATTTAAACTAAAAGTGTTTTAATTTGTCAGCTTATCACATCACTATTGGAGCACGTAGCAACAATTATTTGCATTTTTATGTGTTTTATTAATTATCTGAAACATATGATGCCTGTCGCAGTAAAAACATAAACATAGCTTAATTAACACAAGAATTAATTAGGTACTATACATTCTTTATACCAAGTACATTTGCAACATTATTTTCATTAACTGCATGCGCAAACGTCATACTTATAGCTTACACATATATTATTTGTAATGTCGGTGTCGCGAGCTATCTATAAAAAATTACGTAACGCCCATAAATGTAGGTATATTTGTTTTTTTATATTTACACATTCTAGTCATGGTATCAAAATTTATATTTTACTAGTTGTCTCGGCAAACGTTGTTCTGTCATATAAATTATTTGTAGGGTAGAAAAACTGTTTAGGGTGGAAGACCCTTAACATTTAGGAGGATGAAAAATAGATGTCCGATTCTCCAGCCTGGCCGATATGCACACAAAATTTCACGAAAATCGGTTGTGCCGTTTCGGAGGAGTTCAATTACAAACACCGTGACACGAGCATTTTATATATTAGATTTTCCGGTTGAACAATTTTTTTTATTGTTGTACTGCCCATGGAATTCATCCATCATAGTAAGTAAACCTTTGATATATTTCCTGATGATAATCGTTAGTCACTCTGTGAGAACTATTTTTTGTCTTTAATATGAAGAAGAACAGGAAGAATATAGAACCATTCAAAGTTGTGTCGAAATATAACTAAGGTTGAGCGATGCATTGTTGTAGATATATGACACAAAAATTGGAAAATAGTTATCCTTAATGTTGCTATTTGCCTATAATATACTCATCTTCAACGATTGCTTGACCTATTGTCAGATCATTTTACAGCTTACTCGTAATATTAATCACAGACTGAACCCACATTAAATAAACCACAAATGCGGTTAATTCCTTTCCAACCGATTCCATTCGTATTTCATTAGCGTTGTCAAATCCAGCACGAGAATGTGCCCCGCGTATTTTTAATATAACAACAAAAAATATACCTCAAAGCACAGATGGTAAAGGAAATCGATATTACCACACTATTATGGTTCGCCCCAACAATGATATCTAACATCTATCTTTAATAAAACAGACACACTCAGTATTTTGAAACCGTTCTGACAAATCTCTGGTGTTGAAGTAGCTATGGATGTCAAACCTCTAAACGTCAAGTAAACCGTTTACAATGATGCTACCAACTTGAATTGATGGCATCAGTGCAAACTTAAAAAAAAAATCACAGTATAGCCCCAAAAACATCTTGTATGCAAACACGGCTGTTATAATTTGTTTACAGAGAACCGCTTCGCCAAGTCATTATTGGGGCTTACATTATTAATTTGGTTAATAATTCAATTATCATTTATTATTTAAGCCGTTGCGATAGGATATCACAATGGTCAGAGGTTATGTTAATGTTTAGTCGAATATAACAACTTTGAAATATGTGACCGGATCGTGCATAATGTGACGTTGTTGTTACGGGTTGTTGATAATGTAGTTATTATTGGTGCCTCATTTACTTTTCCTAGTGCTCTTTGTATAGACTTAAGACTTTTTATTTTTTATTGAAAAACCCTAGACCCGGCGCGCCGAAGCCTGTAACTTAATAACTGTGCCGACGGCCATTTATTTATGGCAGGTGTTTAAATAAAGATCATCACAATTATTTTATTCATAATTGCTTTGGCCGAATTCAATTCCACTGTATTTTTTTTTATGTTTGTTACCTCAGAACTTTCGATTGCGTGAACCGATTTTTTTTATTTGAAAGCTGGTGCTTCCCATATATTGGTATTGGATCTTGGGCTCCGGAGATACGTAGGAAACTCCTGAAAATCAATTATAAAATGAACACAGAGCGAGATACTTGAATTCGGTTCTGTTTCTCGTTAGTATTTTAAACCGAACACTCGTTGGATTTAGTTTACATCAACACAATATTTTGTCAAAGATTTCAATTTAACCTTGTTCAAAAACACTTCGAGTAGTATTAATGTTAAAGTTTCCTAATTGTGCGCTATTCGTCGTCTAGTATTCTTTGGTAGGTATCTAAACTGTCTATAGAATAAATATTAGCCAATTTTCTCTGCTAGTTTCTTTTTAATTTCGGATTTCACGCCCATTATACCACCTTTGTTAGCAGACGCTCGCAAACTGAACATACATTTGATCATAACGGCCGGTTTCTGAAACACTGATCATCGTAGATGTCAACTAATCAGCTGTCAAATAATATTTAATAATTTTGTTTTAGTTGAAACACAGTTGATGTCAAGGTTCAAAGCTCTTTGATTGATCATAGAAGATCATTTGGTCAATTCAAGAGTTATAACGTGTCCTTTGGGGGCAAAATGTGAAATTTGAAAAGCCATTTGACGGCTGATTAGTTGACATCTACGACGATCAGTGTTTCAGAAACCGGGCGTAAGTTTCGTGTTTGTTAAATTTTCAGTTTCAACAGCAGGCACATAATATACATAATAATCAGTGTGGTTATGAAACACAGTTGAATGTCAAGGTTCAAGAGCGTTTTGCTGCCATCGATTGTTATCGTTAAAGTTATAACGTGGCTGTGGGGCAAGATTGTGAATATTTTAAAGCTTGCACTCAAATTTTCACGATGGATTTAATATAGAAAGTTTGAAAGTTAGAAGTCTGTCTGTTTATTCCGACTAATCTCTGAAATGGCTGGACATATTTGGACGGGACTTATCCGGGATTATATTGATGATTATATTATTAGATTATATTGACGGGAAAATAGTTGAGCTAATAAAAAGTAACATAGGCTACTGTTATTTTAGAAATTTTATTTATTTTTAATTCCACGCGGACGAAGTCTTGGGCACAGCTAGTAGACAATATATTTTGAGTTTGTGACTGTGGGAGCTTCGTAGTATTTGTAGCAATACTTCTTACAATGGTGACCTAAAATGATTAGTTACACTTCTGAGTTTCGTCTGATAAATGAGGTAGCCGGGGCCCACTTTATTTAAAGTTGACAACGCATTTGCAACCCTGTGGGTGTTGCAAAAGTCCATGGTCAGCGGTTAATACTTAACATCACGTGAACTGCTAGCTCGTTTGCTACTTTATCATATAAAAAAAATCTGAAATAAAGTATTGCAGTTTTAAAATATGTCTACATAAGCAAGCCGTAAGAAATAATTTAAAAAAAACTTGTTCAAAATAAATTTAAATACATCATGGATCATCTTAACTGCTCGCGGTTTAACTCTGAGGGAATTTACAAAATTACTTTCGAGAAACTTTCCAAAGTACTTTACAAATTCTATTAGATTTACCTGATTGGAATTAGAAAGTTTTGCGGCTACTGGAAAATTATTTTCAAAGTGGAGAATGCCAAAATAAATCTATCACAAATATGACTCTTATGTACATTTTTGGACTCATAACATAGTATATAAACCATACTTATAGTATACTCACCTGTCTACATATTTGAATATAGCTTGTTTACGTAATAGAAATATATTTTATCGTTATGTGCTTGGTCACTTATAGATTATTACAGAAAATGTATAGTAATTTGTGCCCTGTTCTAATTTATATTAATATGTATTATAACTAACTGCGATGGTCTTCAAACTCATACCGAACTCGTTACAACGAACTTTAATGAGAGAACTTTATATTGGTCTTTTGGTACTTTTTGTCAGCCGTTACCGTGTGGGACTCTCTATTAGCTGTTACTTGTTGCCAAGACGTGTGTTTTTCTTCTTAAGTAAATTAAAAAATGAGCCCGTCTAACCTTAACACGCGCTTAAAGTAAAACTAAAAAAAAAAATTCCTTAAAATAATTAATAATAGTTTAATTTATTGAATGAATTTTAATGTCATTAATTAATAAAAAAGATAACTATTTTTATATATAATTGAAAACCGAATGTTATATAAATACGTCATTGCAGTAACGCCTTTCCGTTGTATTGAAGTTCCGTTGCAGCGTTGAAGTTTTACTAGAATAAATGTTCACTCTTAATCGTGGAAAATTAAAAATCTGTTTAATATTGGCGTTTATTTGTAGACACTATTTAATAACAAGTAATTGTTTCTTAAATGAGAAACACTAGACATAGAATAATTTACTAGTTAGGTGTCATCTACTTGCTCTTCTATACCCGCTTTATTACCGCAGCATTTAGCAATGCCCTGTAAGAATTATGCGTTAATTTATGTTTTATGTATTATTACAGTTGAGAGGTTGAGGCGAGCACAGCGCAATGGGGAAGCTGCTATCGAAAATCTTCGGTAACAAGGAGATGAGGATATTGATGCTGGGGCTCGACGCTGCTGGAAAGACTAGTATCCTTTGAAAATAGTTTCAACAATATTTAATCCTTAGAATGACATCGAACAAAAGAAACAGATTGTGTCTAATTTAACTCGGAACACAGAGTAATGCTAATTAATCTAGATCAGCCAAAACTACTCTACTGCGCTTCTAGAACTCGTAATGATGTTTTGGTGTATTGACTGTGATGCGTTTGGTATACTGGTAATTCTTATTTATTCTTACTCTTATAAAAGAAATAATTACCTATATATACTTGTTTGAAGCTAGGGAGGTTTCATTCATTAGTGATAAAAAAACAAAGATAGAAAGTGTTTGAGGAATTGGAAAGTATTTTTTATTTAAAAACTTTTTATAAAAAATGTTTCTTTAATTTTGTATGCTTTCTAAAAAAACATCACATAGATTTTCATCAGTACGCTTTTGCAAGTCTGCTGTCTTTTACACCTTTTTAACTTTCGTTTTACACCACCAACGACCACGCTGTTTTCGGTTTAACAAGGCTTAACCTTAAATCGAGTTTTGACATCGAGGCCTGACAAAGAGCAGTCATTATTGTTTAATGTAATTATTTAATGTTTATCATGTAAATGTGCATACAAATACTTATTTTTGAATTGTTGAAATAGATTTACACACAATTTTATTTGAAAAGTAAAAAATTCGTTATATTTCCATTATTTTTATCATAAGGGCGGGAAACGAAAGCGTTTCAAAGGGCTTCGGAAAGTCTTAAATTTCATCCATCCTTAGCGCATTATAGGGGAATTTAAGAAGAAGAAAGTTCAAGTTATTTATGAATCAATTTTTTTTTAAACATTGCACGCAATTTATAATAAAATTATCCTGTGCTGTAAGAACATTTTACAAACATTAATTTCACATGAACAAACAACCAGATACGAAACAACTATCTGTGGGTTACACAAATGGTTGTCCCGTGTACGGATCAAACCCACGACCCCCGACACCGAAGCCAATACATTGGCAACTGCGCCACGGAGTCTAGTCAGATCTAAAATCAGATTTTAAAAATCTTTTTTCATTGTTTTTGCCTTAGCTCCAATGTGATCCCATATTAATTTTATTGATATTGAACCTTGGATTAGACAAAATATGTGTTATTCTGAACGAAATATTTTAAGTCAGTTTTGTTTTTGATATGAAAATTGTTATTGTTTGAGGTAGTTTATTTACATTATCTAAACTTTATTTTATTTCGTTTGTTCAACTATTTAACAATGTTTAATTTTCTTAACGTTTCCGACCAGCTATTTTATATAAGTTAAAATTAGGTCAGTCAGTCACAACGATACCAACCGTCGGTTTCAACGTCGAGACCGTCACGTACAAGAACGTCAAATTCAACGTTTGGGACGTTGGGGGTCAGGACAAGATAAGGCCGCTATGGAGGCATTACTACACAGGTGAAGAATTTATAAATTACTATTTAAACATTACAGAAAGTTTCTTTTACGAAATTTGGCAAATAAACATGGGCGTAAGTGTCACCGAAGAGGTTTCTATCATTATTTTGCTATGAATGTGAAAAGTATAACATAGAATTTTGGCTTTTTTACAGTATTAACTTTATCTCTTGTTCAACCTTGCTTTCACGGTTTGGACGATGTACATAACACGATTCAAACCATTTAAAACGGTGCTGGTGTAAATTTGTCTTCGTCTATTTTTTACACAAACAAGTAAAATTATAAATGAAACTAATTTTACGGATTTATCGCGTTTATTTCTAATTTTAGTTCCCGACCCTTTACAGCGTTCATGGTCACGGGACGGAATCGTCATCGGACGTCGGGAACTAAAATTAAAAATAAACGCGATAAATCCGTAAAATTAGTTTCATTTATAATGTGTAATCGCGTAAATACAAGAAATTATTAAGTAAAATTATACTTTTGCAATTACACACTTCTTATTAAAACGTTACAATGCAACCGCGACCCTACGGGTGTTGCAGATGTCCACGAGCGGTAGTTATCGTTGACTTGACATCATGACAAGACCGTGTAATTTTAAACAACATTTCGTAAAAACATCTAAACTGACATTATTTGTACACGCAATTTCCGTCTTCGCATTCGGAATGACCCCCGTCACGTGTCGATTGCAGGCACCCAGGGCCTGATATTCGTCGTGGATTGCGCGGACCGCGACCGCATCGACGAGGCGCGGCAGGAGTTGCACCGGATCATCAACGACCGAGAGATGCGCGACGCCATCATACTCATCTTCGCGAACAAGCAGGACTTGCCCGACGGTGAATATCACCATCACCTCTTTTTTTTTTTTGTTACATTGGGGGAAATAGCTACGCATACCCGCCCGGGGGCGAGGACGGGTTATGATGTTCCCCACGACATTCCACCCAAGCAGGGCAGGGACATGGGGACGCTTTCGCACACTTCCGCGACCCTGCAAGCTCTAGCAGCCCCCCCCTCGGGGAGCACCTCCCCTCTCCAGATGAGGCACGTTGGAACATTCAGCGCGCCTTCCTACTAACATCACCTTGTCTCGTCTATATTTTACTGCGTGAATTCTCTCCTCCCTTATGGCACACTTCAGAGTATACTCATCTTCGCAAACATAATCCTGTTTCGTATGTCCTTTATCACCCAGTCTCGTCACTCCTTCACTGCACGAATTCCGCGCAATCTTACAGACTTGAGAATATACTCATCTTTGCTAACGAGCAAAGCTTGCCCGACGGTAAACAGAACATCGCTCTGTCTCGTTTCTTCTTTACTGCGTGAATCCTTTAAAATTCCTTCGTTAAATACCGCTGAAACATTTAAATTGACTGAGCCCCCGAGTTGTCGCCCCATCAGAAATATTAACGCAAACAATTATACTGAGCAATTTTAGCTCTCATATTCTAAAATACCCAATGATCTAAAATAACCAAAGACAGACATTCGTGTCAAGTGCAGGAAATCTGCCGCCGACATGCGATATCGGTGACATCATGACTGTTTGCTCGTACGGTGATCAATGCAGGGGAAATTTGATTATTAGCAAATAAAAAAAATCCTCCCAAGCGATCGTTATTAAAACGTTAATCATATGTATTATATCAGTATTGGCGTGAACATAATATATATCGATATATATTATGTTCACGCGAATACTGAATGAAATCAGTATTTTTTAATTATTCAACATAACCAGAATCCAAACGGGGTAGACTGACAGCTATCCATCTCTCGTCTTCAGCTTGTCGCTTTACACAGATGTGGGAAGGGATATTTGCACCCAGGGGATACTGAAAATTTAAAACTTTTTGATGAACTTCGCTAGAGATTCGAACGACCGATATCTCTTTCAATCCCTCTCCCTCGAAAAAAATTGTCTTATGGATACAATCGCATTAATTTATCAGTAAAATGGAACGTGATAAGATCTGTGAAATAGTTTTATTTAACCACAAAACAATGCTGCAAAGTAATCGGACATTTGCGGTGAAAGCTAAAAATTGAACATGATAAAAATGATGAAAAATTATCCGAATAATAATATTTAATATTCATATTATTCACATTCTTTTATCTCTTTGTAGAAGTATGGAAAGATCGAATTAAATATACCGTTTTTAAAATCTAACAATGTCAGTCCATTATGAGAAATTCCAGAAATTATCACGAACCTAAAATAGCAGTCCGCGCTTTACTCTAAAAAGCACTTCGCAGTTTACGCTGTTCTTACATGAGTTCCTCCGGGTCAATTTAACGGTCGACAGCCCTTCATCCTTTTGTTGTCGAAATTGGACACAATCGAACCGAACGGCTTGCTTCGGCCTTTATTGTACGAACAGCGACGGAATGACACGTTCTGCCTTCGATCTCCATCTGAATTTGACGATCGCGTCTTCAAGCAGAGCGAATAGGCTTTATTTGATGTAGTATTTTAGAGCAGTGCATTGCGGTGTATACTGATTAAATAACACCATTATAAATAACACGTAAGCACTATCGGAACATAATTGAGGCATCTCATTATGTACGTATCCGTAATTTCCACGAGATATTTATTAAACTTCGTTTTACATTACGAGAATAGTTAATTGCTACAAGAGGTAAAATTATAGATTGCTATAAGGACCAACAACAACTAAATTTTATTTTTTTTATTTTTATATTAGAACTTTGAAATAGAACCCACTGCCTCCTCTATTAGGTCATAGTCCACTACGTGACCCCGCTGCGGATCGGCGAACTTAACAGATCGCCGACAAAGATTCGAATCCCGCCAATGAGAGAGGAAAGAGAGAGACAGATACAGTTTTTCCTTTGCTTTCCCACTTACGCCGCGTAATATGTCCACACTCAGCGATGAAGCCGCACGAGATCCAAGAGAAGCTCGGCCTGACGCGGATCCGCGACCGCAACTGGTACGTGCAGCCGTCGTGCGCCACCTCCGGCGACGGCCTCTACGAGGGGCTCACGTGGCTCACCAGCAACCACAAGTTATGAGCTGCGGAGTAGGCGGCGCACGGACGCCGCCACGCCCCCAACGCGGTGAGCGCGACGCCGCTGTGGCCTACGTGTTTTTTTTTTTTTTTTTTTATGTGAAAAGTTGCCAAGTGAGCAGACGGATCACCCGATGTTAAGTGAATACCGCCGCCCATGGAGATCTGTTACACCAGAGGGTTTCAGATGCGTTGACAACCTTTGGAAATTGGGCTCCGGCCTCCTCACTCACTAGATGAAACGCGAAAGTATTATACTTCCACTTTACGGCAAGTCTTCTGTAAGGTCGTGGTACTTACCCGGTCGAACCTGCCCATTCGTGCAACAGCCGTGGCTGCTGCAGGAATGGCTCTACCACCGTTAAAAACCTGTCAAAACTTAAATTCTTATGTTCAGTAATGACCCCAAATAATGTACGTATAGCGCTGAAACGTCTTTTTATGTTATTGTTAACGTTAAAAGTTTGCAAACGTGCGGGCGGTTCTCCTAATGTTAAGTGATGACCCCCGACACGGTACGTATAACGCTGAATGGATTTTTCGTATTAAAAGCTGGCAAACGAGCAGGTGGTTCGCCTGTTTTCTTTATGTGCGAAGATGGCTAGCGAGTTCACCTGATATGCAAAACACTGCCCTTACTTTGATTTTGAAAGAACGTTTTAAAAAAATAAATTTCACCGCCCATAGGAATCTGCAACGTCCCGTAAGATTGCCGACGCGTTGCCTTTTAATGTGGTCCCCCGGTTCCCTCATTCGCCAGACGAAACGCAGAAGTGTAACAGTTCCAATTCACGCTGGTCTTCCGTGAGGTGGTGGTACTTCCCCGAACGGTTCTTCCGTGAGGTGCTGCCCATTCGTGCAACAGTGAAGACTGTTCAGTGGCCCCACCGCTGTCGCTTAACACCGTTCTTACAATCCGGTCAGCACTGCACAGCACTGGGACGGACGTTTCGTAAGGCGAAGTACCGAAACACAGAGGATCGTTGTAAAGCGATCATAGTTTCGCTTCTAAAGTAACCATACTCACTTTTCTCGTGAGTGTGGCAATTAATAGCAACTTCCAAAAGGGGTTGCTCGAATGCTTTTATCTTAAAAACGCTGGCGATGCGTCTGTACTCTACGGGTGTTGCAAATGTGTATGGGCGGCGATTATCACTTAACATCAGGTTATCCGTCAGCTCGCTTCATCATCTTCTTAAATAAAAAAAAAAAAAAACTTCATTGTACGTCACATTTAGGGATACACTGACTCTTCTATCCTAAATTTTATGTTTAAAATTTAATTTCTCTTTAATCCCAAGATTGTGCCACTTTTGCCAGCATTTTAGCATTTATTTCTTAATGTATATAAATAACGCTCTTCATATATCTTAGCAGATATGTGAATAGCGCTAGCGATCAAAGTTTCATGGTCAAGGTGCACTACGTGTAATCTATATCTACTTTGATCGTTTTCAACTTTCATAGATCACTCGAAGGGGAATTAACTAAACCTAATGGCATAAATTGTCATATCTGCCCAACAGCTTTCGCTCTTATCTGATTGAAATATTTAAGTTTATGATCAGTGCAACAGAAACTTTTGTCAAATGTATTACTTTGTCAATTAAGCATATATTTTGTCAAAGACAATTTGATCGAGCTTCTCTTTACTTGGTCATGAACACAGTTTGCCTGGAAAGTTGGTTTGATTGTATCTTAACTGAGTTTCTGTGCGCCGAAGACTGTATGCATTAATTTTATGTGTGCTCGGTTTCAGATGAGGATGCCATTTAATTTAAGTAAGCTGCGCCCATGCCGTCGGATATAGGAGCCTTGTGGAACTGTGCGGATTTATTGGACATTGACTCAAACGTATATGCTATGTGGAAGGTGCGTCCATTGCAAGTGCGAGACACTTCGTCAGTTAGTTAGAAATTTAAATTAAAGGAAATCAACGAGTGTACAGTTACGGTCGCACGGAGCCGATAACAAATGTCTATTCCATTATTTAACTGAACTATTAGTGGTTTGTTGTAACGAAATATTTTGATGATTATTATTATTATTATTATTGTTTTTTTATGTTATTTAAACAGCAGAAGGAAACGATTACGTAGAGTAAATGATTTTTTATTATTATTATTATTGAAATATTATTAAAGAAAAACTAATTTAACGTTTACTTACCTTTTTGTACGATAGTAAGGTAGGGCATCGAAGTTTCCGAAACATTATAGTAATCAAATGATTAAATTAAGTATTGATGAATGTGTGAAAGGTGTAACGATGATTATAAAGAATAATATTAAAGAAAGAAAGAAAAAAAAAAGCAATAACGAATTGCACGCCTGCTGTATTTAGCGTATTGTATAATTGCTTGATTTGTAACGCGTCCTGTGGGCGATGAAAAGAGGGGAAAGTAATTAAAACAAAATTATAACTGTCACACGTACTGTTTTCATTTACTTTACAATGACACTGCTCCCACAACACACTATAGAAATACTTCAGCTTCATTAAAACTTCATATCTTTTTATTCAAATTACTAGCACAGTTTCAGATTCATTAAGTTCTTCAGTTCATCATTTCATTAATCTTTTTACATATGTTGAAAGAAGTGCAGTTTTAGTTGTCAAAATTTATTTAATTTGTTTTGACGTGACACTGAACATCCATGTTGCTAAACTTTTGCTTTTGGTGTGTTTACATTGTATTAGTTAGTTTTTTATAGGGACCATTCCTGGCCTTATTGAAGTATATTAGGGCGTAACCACATTAGATCAATTATTATTTTTTTCAGTTGACATTGCTTGCTTTGTTGTAATTCGGCAATGAAATGGTGCTTTCTACCTAGCTTTTCGCATGTGATAAGTAGTGTAGTGTGGATACATCCTTATAAATGTCGTTGCGACATCAGTATCGCTGTATTCATTTGGAAAGTTTCTCATTTAATTATAATTTTTAGATACATTTTCATCACACGAATACATTCCACTATTAACATTATATTTGGACCGAATTATACGATTGAACAGCATGAAGCCAGTATTATGTAAATTTTGTATAGATAACATTTAATATCACTTTTATGAAATAAAAATCGAAGAAAAATGTCCTTTTTTAATTTAAATAAGATTGTAAAACAGCGCTGAAGTAATTATATATTCTCATCTTATAAGAGATAGAAACCGTTAAGTTAACTGTTAAACTCATTTATTTAACAACAACAAAAGCTTTAAATATTTTTTTTTGTATCAAAAATTTTGGAAGGTATAGAAATAAAATGTATTCCTGTCATAAATTTTACTTTATACTTTATCAAAGATGGGCAGTTAAAGCACTGCCCTTTCTTTAAAAAAACACGATATACTTAACGTTGTTCGAAAAATACCAGTTTGACGTTGGTTTAAGAGACAATTGAAATAAATTGCCTTACTGTTCTTTCAGCACTACTTTTATCAAGCACCTTTCAAGGTTTTTATATGTTTGTCTATTAAATTGTTTATCCTAAATGACCTCATACGCCCTTTAAAATTTGCACAAACAAATAATAACAAGGTAATTAAGTATAGAAATTATTTCTACTGTATGGAAATACTCATTTTTTATATTATAATTCATCTAAATTAACCCTTTTTCATTGTAATAATTACCATACATTTTGCTCTGTTTAGTACTCTCTTACATATAGTATGCACGATTCATTTTCGATAATGTAAAGTTAAAAATAAAGAGAAGCAATATTGTTTTGTATCATTTATCAAGTGTAATCGTTATGAATAAAACCATTATACATATTGTGCAAAGTTAACAAAAAAAAATCATTCCTGTTTAACCTTTAATCGATTCATACCAGCTTACTATATAACATGTCTTATGTTAGGATCACACTTGAAATAGTGTAGCTAGTTCCGTATCTTTTATTCAATATCGATTTTAATATTCATTTCATGAATATATTCGTATAACTAAAATTATTCGTTTACGTTGTACATAAAATATACGTCTATTGGACAATATGTTTAGCAAGCTAAAAAAAATGTTAAACAAGTGCGATTACGGAATTAGGATAAATATGGGGGCGTGCGTGTTTATGATTTTAAAGGAAGGTTTGTTGTTTTCGATCGGAGACGCTAGTGTGCGCTCCAATCGTCTATGTACCATATTGTAGAAAATTTATTCAATATAAATTCACACCAATGCGCACTTGTTTTCTTTATTTAGAACTATGAAGATGGGTTTTCTAAGACGTGGCGTATACAAGAGCCATATTAGCTACAGCGTATGTGCCATTGCTGGGCAAGGAACTGTATGTAGAAAGGGTATTAGGCTGCAGTCCACCACGCGACCCGACAGTGGATTGGCGGGCTTCACATATCTTTCAAATGTAGGTACTTTTTCGATTATTATTTCGAAAATATGTAGTTTTATTCACGATCTTGTATCTTGTATTAACTGATGTTTGTGCTTTCACTCCCGAGACTATTAAAGCTTCATCTGACGGAGAACCGGTGGGCTAGCCAGAACCCACGGGTTTGGGCCCTCCGCTGTGGGTAGGGCCGCGCATGTGCTCATGCGTGCGTTTAACTATGGTGTGTCATATAAGGGCATTATTCACTGCTTCACGAGCTTCCGGACACTATGCTATCACGGCTCTTGCTGTCCGTTAATACCACAATTCTCATGTTAAAGGCTGCACGGGAAAGCCTTAAATCTGGCAAGGAAACTGCCACTTCTCGGATGATGATTCATAACGGTGGTGTCCACTATAACTAATAAAACGAAAACAATCTAGTTACGTCAATATCAAAATGTACCGAATTTAAATATAGAATTATTATTTATCTCCTTTACTATGAACGATAGCACGACGATTGTTAAATTTATTAGCCCTATTTCAGATTTCATCTAAACTGTACACTAAATATAATTATGTTGTATAAATGTGAATCGATATTGGATATATTGGAGTTTTGTTTTACTGAACAATATTCAGCATGGATTTCAGTTGTTCCAAAGCTGAAGTTTATCACGATCACTATTTAACACCGAACGTGATTGTTTCTTAGAAATGATAGCGAAATATTCGATGTCCAAATCTAGTGCTTTCTCAAACTGGTTCTTACAGAGTACAATGTTTAGGAAGTGTCTCAATAAATAATCTACGATAAAATCTAGCTAGTGAAATATTGTGACATTCACAAAACTTGTGTAATTGTAAAAGTCTATGAGCAGCACGCAGTAAGTAGGCATTGGAGGGAGCCACTTGAGACAGCGGGAACACGTTTACTGCGTAGTCCGTATCGCAAGCTGTCTCACACGAAGTTCACGATATGACAATGCTATTTTCATTCGGTTTTTTGAACATGAAAAACAAATTTTGAGAAAAAAAGATTTGTTCTAAAAATTTTAATAAAAGTAAAGTAGCAGCCTAAACATATCGCACTGCTGGGCTCATGCCTCCTCTACAGAGGGTATCTGGGCATAATTCACCCGTCGGCCGCAATGCGGATTGGCGGACTTCACATAATTTCGAATGTTTCTGTTATTATTTCGAAAATATGCAGGTTTCCACACGATTTTTTCCTTCGCCGTTGAGCACGCGATAAAGTCAGCACTTAAAATTAACAATTTCATTGGTGCTGGCATCGGGGATCGAACTAAACCTTTGGTTTGTCGGAACGTAGATCTGCGCGCCAAATTGTGCTTCCGTTGACTGTCGGAACGTAGATCTACGCCAGATCGTTTATGATTAATAGTGAGCTATTTGCTGACTAGATTGAGTTAATTTTCCCGTGAAACTCGATCGAGAAATTAGCGAAGGAGTGAATGAACCGTACTTTGATAGCTAAAAGAATTATTACTGGTAAAAACCTATTCATTCTTTCACGACTATTTCGAATATCTCCATGTTTTCATTTAAATATTTGAATTAATGTTTTTTGTGAAACAAATATCGAAAACCGTAAGTATTTTTTCTTTTCTTAATATTTAGTATATAAAACAATGATAACGTATCGAAAACTGTAATATTACTAAGAATTTAACGAGATACGAAGAACATAAAATTTATGTATCCGTTCGTCATCTCTCTTTCATTTTCGACTACTAATATTTCGTAGTTTGAATTACACATTCTAATTATCTTACACATAATTTTGATTCTATATAGATATTATAAATAAAATGTAAATTTGGAAAAAACTTTCCATCTAACAGAAATTTCGTTTTCAAATTGTTACGTATAAAAATTTGGAAATATAGGATGTTCATAAAAGTCATTTTTTTTTGTTCTCGGGTTGAACATTACATTTTTTTAATTGATTTGAAATTACTCCATCGCTATAAAATGTAAAGATAAGGTAGAGAACATTTTATCCACTTAGTGTTAATTTACCTATTTTAATGAAAACGAATAAAAATATATTATTGGAAGATACAAGGGTACACTGCAACAGTCTATAAAAGGAACAGCGCTAGCCATTTTGGGGGCCAATCCGTAAGTCATAGGTGCCGTCACCTACAGACCCTTACCGCTAAGTACGTTCCGTCGCAAATGGAGCAGACCACGACACATCCTCGATTTTCCTGATGATGAGACGACTATTGCCATCGACAGGATAAAACAATAACGCAAACACACCAGATCACACCGCACTCGCCGGCGAGTAGAAGCGTCGTTGGAGATTCTTCCGCCACTTTTCCCAGCGCCAACGCTTTCCGGAATGGTAGTCATGTTAGACCTAGAAATTCTTCCAGTCAGATAATAACTACCGATTGAGCCGAGGTCTGGCCTTCTACGGCACCCTCGAATCGGAAAGCTAAACGGGTATTGAGTGACAGCCTAAGCTGAGATCCCCTCTCGAGGGTCCTTGAGCCTAGACACTCCATGGAGCGTCCACCAAAGCGCCGTTCCTTTTATAGATCGTTGCAGTGTGAAATTTAATTTTTTTAATTTTTTTTTAATGTGAAAAAAGCAGCAAACTAGCAGGAGGCTCACCTGATGGTAAATGGTCACCGCCGGCCATGGACATCAGCAACACCCGAGGGCTTACAAATGCGTTGCGTACAATGCGGTTTAGGAAAGAGTACGCTCTCTTCTTGAAGGTTCCCACGTCGTAACGGTTCGGAAAGACCGCCGGCGGCAGCTGGTTCCACAGAGTGGTTGTGCGAGGCAAGAAATGCCTTGAAAATCGCGCTGTTGTGGAACGCTGGACATCGAGGTGGTGTGGATGAAATTTTTGGTTTTGGCGCGATGTCCGATGGTGAAATTCAGCCGCCGGGATTAATCCAAACAATTCCTCGGAACACTCCCCGTGATAGATGCGGTAGAAGATGCAGAGTGATCCAACATCTCTACGCACAGCCAAAGGATCAAGCCGATCGGAAAGACATTGATCGTCAAAACCCCCAGCTGCCCTACGTTGGATGCGGTCAAATGGAAGAAGTTGGTAACAGGGGGCTCCAGCCCAGAGGTGAGAGCAGTACTCCATGTGGGGCCGAATTTGCGCCGCGCATTTTTTAATGAGGAGTCACGACAAATGGGGACTTTTTAGGGGTTAACGCGCAAACTGTACCACAAGTTAGTTGTCTGTCGCCACACCTGTATGCGATGTACACGGACGATATTCCCACCTTGGAGCAACACCCCTCCGACTGGGATGAAGACGTACTGTTGGCCCTGTACGCGGACGACAGTGCGTTCTTCACGTCTTCTCACGTCGCGGCGATTGCGGCGAGGAAAATGCAGCGCCAATTGGACCAGCTGCCCGAGTGGCTGGATAAGTGGCGGATGTCTGTCAACTTCGACAAGACGTCCGCCATCTACATCCGCCGCATCAAAGACCAACCCACGCTTGAGCTGCGAGGTCAAGCGATAACCAACATGAACATCATTAGGTACCTTGGATGCCGGATAGACCGCTCGCTGTGCATGGCTCCCCAGGTCGAACAAGCTCGAGCCATGCTTTACCCCCTATCCTGGCATCCAGGCTACCTATCAAGACCAAGATCGGAGTCTATATGACGTACGTCCGTTCGCGCTTGACCTACGCCGCTCCGGCGTGGTATAGTCTGGTCTCCGCCTCGCAAAGGCGCAGACTCCAGGCGCAGCAAAACCTCGCCCTTCGAGTAATCGTGGGGGCCGGGCGCTACGTCAGGAATGACGTGATAGCCCGTGATCTGAAAGAAGAGTCCATCAAGGAGTTTGTGGTCCGGATGGCCCGTCGCATGTACGACAGGGCCGACAACGGAACACATCCACACCTACAAAATATCGCACCCCTACATGCTCGTCCTCCTGACGGGCGCCCGCTCCCACGAGAGCTACTGCGGTCGGAGGCCACTGGGGAGCCGGACCCGACCGCACTTCCGCCGCTGAGAAGACGATGTCGTCCACGCGTTACACACCGCGTGTAACGCTGTACACCCGCCAGTGCTGCTACCGCGGTCAGAGAAAGGGATGGCCGTTGGCCATCCTCACCACCAACCAGCCTTTGCTGGTCGAGATTACGCCCGAGTAATGGGGACATGGCCCCGAGACTCGTTCATGCAGGGCCCTTGGCCAGCTGCAACACATCATCATCCGGCTCTCGTAGACGTTTTCCCGAGAAATGTTAGCACGGCCAGTGTACGACACATCCACAGTGCTATCATCTGCATAGCAATGAACACTGCTGATTTGCAACATATCATTGATATGCAGAAGAAACAAAGTGGGAGACAGTACGCAGCCTTGTGGAACACCAGCATTGACAAATTTAGGATCAGAGCATGCACCGTCGACGACGACCTTGATGCTTCGATCTGCCAAAAAGCTGGTGATCCATTTGCATAACTTCCCGGGAAGCCCATAAGAAGGCAGCTTCGAAAGAAGTGCTTTGTGCCACACCCGATCAAAGGCTTTCGCTATGTCCGGACTGGCTGCAAGCGCCTCCCCCTTGCTCTCAACTGCTTCTGCCCATCTGTGTGTCAGGTAAACTAGAAGATCACCGGCTGAGCGACCTCGATGAAAGCCGTACTGGCGGTCGCTAATCACCTGGTGCTCCTCTAGGTACCACAGGAGCTGGCAGTTAATGATGGTCTCCATTATTATTATTATTATAGGCCTGTAGTTGGACGGATCCGAGCTGTTGCCTTTCTTATGGATCGGGTGCACTAAAGCGGCCTTCCAGGATTTCGGGAATACGCCTAGAGTATAGGAGATTCGGAGAAGACGCGTCAAAACCGGTGCCAACTCCGGAGCACATGTCTTCAACATAATCGGAGGGATGCCATCGGGCCCACTCGACTTATGAATGTCCAAGGAAAAGAGTACTCTGCGAACTGCACTGCCGAAATTGAACCTCCGGCATCGTAGCATCGCAACGCGGGATTGTTGATGGTAATTTTCCTCGGTTAAGTCGAGTTGGACGCGAAGAGAGAGCCCATAAGATCGGCTTTCTCCTTCGCAGCATGGGCCAGCGAGTCATCCTCCGTGTGCAGGGGTGGAAAAGAAGGCTTACAGAAATTTCCCAAGACAGCTTTGGCGAGAGACCAAAACGCACGTGTTCCCGTTGGGACACGCGCCAATCTCTCGCCAATTCTGCCAATGTGTTAATAACACTTTTGAAGGACCTAGAGGCAGAGTTATACTTCTTTTTTAAAGCGCTGGTTTTTACACCACTTGACGTTGAAGCGTCAGCCCAAGCCTGGTAGCAATCCCGCTTTCGGCGTAATGCCAACTTACAGGAGCGACCAAACCAAGGCTGCGACTTGCCACCAATGGGCACTGCAGAGAACGGAATAAAGAGTTCCATACCTTGAAGCACCACATCAGTCACTGAGTCAGCAACGACGTCTGGGTCATCCGGTGAGAAGCAAATCTGCCCCCATGGGTAGGACAAAAAGAGTGTCGAGGCGACGAGAGCATATAACCTCTGACGTACACGCACACCCCAGCCCGTGGCACAAAGGAATGTTCCAGTTTGTACCCCGGGTAGGAGAAGAATGAGGTGTCAGCTGGAGAAGATATCTGGGTCTCGGTAAGGAAGAGCAAGGCCGGGTTCGCCGTGTCAAGATGGAAGTGGACGGCGTTTAAGTTGGAATTTAGCCCCCCTATGTTGCAAAAGTCCACGGCATGCGAGGAAGGGGTGGCCTTATGTTGCCTGCTCCGTTTGCCCCGAGCAGATGTAGAGAACGCAAAATTGCGCCCCCCCCCCCCCCCCCCCCCCTTTCCCCCCAGAATACGAAGGGCAGCCTAGGCGTTCACGCTCAGACGTTGTACGGCCTGCGCGTGGACGTCCAGAGAGGGATTCTCCGCCGCGCTGTATGCTGGTGGTACCCTCCTGGGGTAGAAAATTTAAAAAATTCCACGGGCGTGCTGGCCCAATTCGGCTGCTACTCGACTATTGCTACTATTTTATTAATGACTACTTGGCAAGTAGTCATTAATAAAATCTTTTTTACTACAAATTTTTAATGTTTTGTCTTAAGTGACAAGAATAGCACAATAAAAAATTTACTTTGAATTTTTTTTATTGGAAGTAGGAAAGAAACTTACTTGAAAATTTAAACATCCTCTATAGTCATATAGTCAGTGTCGGAACGTAGATCTGTGTTCAGACTGTTGTGTCGGAACGTAGATCTGCGCTACTAACGTACCAATAAATTATGATATTTATACTCAAATTTCTAAAGTTTTATCAAAGAAATACACATTTCATTTATATTTATTCAAAACAACATGTATTCTGTTTTCATAACATGGAAATAAAAAACCTAAAAGGTTTATCATGAATTACTTATTGATATTTTTCTTTAGGATGTAAGAATTGCTTCTAGTAAACAATAGAAACATTGTACAAAGGCAAAAATGTAATAACTGTAAAGTTAAGCCATCCATATAGCTTTAAAATAAACCTGAATCATATAGATTATGGTTTTCACTACAAATATTGTTCCGAAGAAAGACGCAGTTGCAAAATTGCACGACTGTTTTTCACCGACAGATAGCGCATTTTTCATAGTGCGCTACCCGACAGACCAAGGTTTAAGTTGCTCGATTATATTGAATTAAAGGTAAGCGCCCGTACACTGAGCTATCACGGCAACATTGAACATATTTATTTTATATATTTTGCAGTTTGTGTGTAGATGGCCCTAAGATGACATGCCGTAGTTAAACGCATGCATGAGCATATGCGCGGCCCTGCCCACAGCGGAGGGCCCAAACACGTGGGTTCTGGCTAGCCCAGATGAAGATTTAATAGTCTCGGGACTGAAAGCACAAACATCAGTCAATACAAGACTTGCGATTACTTTACTTGCACGAGCTCTGGGATTGACGAAACTGCATATTAATCTACAGAGAAACGGTCGTCTTTAGTTGCAGGACAGGCACTCATTCGGAAAAACAGTATTTTGATCGATAAACAAATTGCGAACTGCAACCATTATCTGTGATTCAGTCCCATATTTCCAGTTGGCCTGAAAATAGCCAAGTAAAGTAAACCAGTGGTATGAGTAGTTTTCTCTCCTATCGGATTTGAATTATAAGTACTATAAATAAGCAAAAAGAAAGAAACAAGCTTCATAAAAACTATTTATTATATCGTCTATTTAAAAAACGGAGATATAATGGTATAGGTGCTAATCGGTTTTCGTTTAGACTTGATTCAGCCTTCGCAGTTCCCGGTTCTTGCCAAACACCGATTGTCAGTAACGCGTTATAGATGCGGGCCAGGGTTTGGATCAGTCGATCCTATGGTGCGTCGACGGTGGACGTGGTGGTGACGGAGTCGGCGGTGTCGTCGCATCGCGGCGGCAGTATGATCTGCAGCTCCTCGTTCATTTGGACCTCTTCCTCCGGGACAACGATCTCCGGGACCGCGTTGTCGTATTCATCGGCGTTGGATGCGTTGCTGGAATATATATGAACGCAGTCTTTAACGCTTTCTTTGGGAAAGAACTTTTTCAATTTAAATTTGATAAAAATTAAAAAAAAAATACTTTAAAAATTAATTGACTATGGGCCCGTACATCGGGATTTTTTTTAAGTTTACATCCTAGGCTTAGTGCCGCGGCTGGTGATAAGAGAGATGGTTCTTTTCTCGCTCAACGGTTGCATTCAGCGATTAAATGCAGCTAGCGTTCTTGGTACCATGGCGTGTGGATTAGGTTTTTTAGATAATATGTAAACAAGATAGATTTAATGTTGTAAATGTTGAACAAATAGTGTCGAATAAAAAAAACTTTAATTTCAGTTTTGATCGCTGCAATACCAGTGTCTTTTTTACGCTTAGAATTTAGTCAAGAACTAACAAATGCTTGATTTCATTTAGCTGTAGATGATAAACGTACCGGATAAGTAAACTCTGTTTTAAATAATATCGTAAAAAGTGGGGTTTTATAAGTTTGACGTGTCTGTAAGTGTATCTGTGTGCTTGTCTGTGGCATCGTAGCCTAATCGTTTTTTAGTTCGAAAGTTGACATGTTCCAGATGTTTCTTAGTTATTTGAGTTTTGGTTTTCGTTTTTTACTCCTTTAAAAAATGCAGCTTGCTCGTAAATATAAATAACAAACGTTACTCGAGCTGATCCCCGGCCTTGGCGCCGGCGAGGACCGACGTGTACAGTCGCGCGCGGGCACCATGCAGTCGCATGCCGATCGGTATTTCCTCTGTGCCCGAGCGCCCGTCGGATGTGGTGCGAAGTGTATTATTGCCTGCGGGCAAAAATGACCTCGCCTTCAGTGCGTTATGGATAAATTCCGCTGTCCCTTTTGAGTGACACTTGGCGTGAATATTTTTCATTAAACATAAGTACAACGTCAAGAAAATAAACTCACTTTTCTCTACACCACTCTAAGGTTGACTGGTAGAGACTGCCATTGGCATTAAGTCCGCCTTTGTACAGTGTGTGCATAAAGATTAAATAAATAAATAAAAATAAGATAAAAGTATTATTTTTAAACTTTGAAGTTGAACTTGTATTATACGGCGAGAAATCACACGCCGTAATTAAACTTAAATTAAATATTCCTATAATATCAACACTATATTGAGGCAAGATAAATTTAAAAAAATCTCAGGAAACACATAAATGGATCGCAATAAAAGAGACTTACTATTTTCTCGGTTAGTTTTTATGGAATGCATGCCGCCAGTCCTAAGCTTCTCCGCGAGCGGTAGAAGTTTTGTTCTAGTGGCTCCTTCGCTTTCTGTAAAAAGTTTGAATTTCGCGCCTAAATCTTTGATAAAAAGCACTGTCGACGGATTCAGTGAATAGAAGTGAATACAAAGGCAGATAGCAGCACAGATTTCGAATGTCGCCGGTAACCGCAATTTGGCCGTTTCTGGAACTTTCTAACAAAAAAAACCGACAACAAAAGGAAAAAACTATTTCAAAACAAATTAATATGCACTAAAAAGTAAAATAAATAATTGAGAATATAATTATTTTACTTTTTTTAATCATCAATATGTAGGTAGGATCTATGTACCTATTTAATAATGTCATATTTATTGTTATTTTTTCGGTGTCAGCCAAGAAAACACCAGCTTTCAAATAACAAAAGAATCATCAAAATCGCTGCACTCAAGTTCGAAAGTTCTGAGATGACAAACATAAGAAAAAAAAAACAATTGAATTGAGAACCTCATCCTTTTTTGAAGTCGGTTAAACATACGGTGCGCGGATTGACAGCAACATGCAGCCTCTATCGCGTTGGGATTCAATAAACATGGTGTAAGCAAGAAAGGCATAGCATTCACCGTCTCCGTCTTACCGTTAGGGTTTAAAGTGGTGATGAGATGTCGTTACCAGTCGCGGCAGCCCCGCGGGAAGGAAGGTCGGCGTAGCCCCTGAACAGCATCTCCAGCTCGTCGGGAGTCAATCGTCGGAGATATGAGACCCGTTTCAGGTCCGGCCGGTGTAGGGAGCGGAATGAGTTGCGATGCTGGAAGAGCGTTCAACGTCTTTATTTCGAGATATTTTTCAATGCATATTTTTAAACATTGTTATCTAGCAAACTAAGGAAAGCTTGCACGGAAGCTCAGTAATTTATAAACCTACTTTTCTATTGTAAATAAGTACACATTATAGATATAGGTATAACACACGGACACTAGAAAAACATTACGATCATTTTTTCAACGCATTTGCGCTTCGTCTGGTGAGTGAGACAATCGTTGCCCACTTTTTAAAAGGTTGCCAACGAATTTTAACTTCTCAGTTGTCAAAATGTTCACGGGGAGCGGTAATCACATAGCATCCGGTGAAGTGCGCGTATTCTTGCTTCTTAAAAATTCTTACCTTAACCAGTCCTGGAACTAATTGCGTTTTGTCTGACGTGGGCGACATGTTCAAACATTGGATTACGCTTTCATGCTTCATGGATATTGCAGAGAGTCCGCTTCGCACCAGGTCTTGATTTATCTTGGAATAAATAAAAATATTGTTTTCGTTATATGCCTGCTGTAATTGTGATGCAAGCACGCATTTATGAATTTTTTTTTTACGCTTTGTAAATAAATTAACAAATACATTATCTTTTTTTGTCATTGTACGGTTTTGCTCAATGATTCATAGGTTATTCATAGGCTTTAGTGTTATAATGAAATATGACTTTAGTGAATAACTTCTATCTCCTGCCCGTATCCCAGCTCGGCGAGGTTTAACATAAAACATAAAACGTCAATTTATTTATGGTGTTGGCCGCCTGCTTGACATCAGTCCTATTTGGGAACAAACACCCAGATCCGGCATAACTATTTACGAAGCCTTTGGCTTTGTAGATAGTTGTGCCATCTGCGCCATTGCAATATCGCCGAATCATTTTGTTATTTGTAATAATATTATTGTTATATCATTTTGTTATCAATCATTTTCTGTTAAAAACTATGCAACAATATAAAAAAATGATATCTCAAAAATAAAAAATAAAAATCTATGCTCTTTTCTACAACTTGACTGAGCAGGTCTTCGGAACCCATACTTTAATATTATAAATGCGAAAGTAGCTCTGTCTGTCTGTATCGCTTTCACGTTAAAACTACTGAACCGATTTAAATGAAATTTGGTACACAGATAGTCAGAGCCTGAGAAAGGACATAGGCTATTTTTTAATTGGAAAAAAGTGTTGTAAAGTGTTGAAAGGTTAAAGAAAGACATTTATTTAAGGGCTTCAACGCGAGCGAAGCCACGGGCGAAAAACTAGTAATCTTTAACTGAACGTCAACTAAACACTGACATTGCGACATGATAAATGACGCCAGCAATATTTAATAATCTATCTACCTATCCTCTCTTCTGCACTTCTGTACAAACGCCTTTTTCCCTTGTAATAAAGTTATCATATAGATATCGTTGCAACATGTAAGCAGAAGATGTTAGTTCGCAAGATCTTATATTGATTTTCTGAGTTAATATAACGAAAACCGCTGAAAAAACTTAATATAGTTGTAATTCACTCATGTGTACTTTTTAATTCGATCTTTCTAAATCTGACTTACCTGTGCATAATTTTATAACTCAATATCCGAATCGGATTAATTAATATAATATGACTCGTTAGTTTTCACGACGCCCAAATAAGTTTGTGTGTTATCCGTCACGTCCGGTTTAAAAAGATTAATCGTTCATACTGTCCAAACGGTAGGGGAACCCAGAAATTTATCAGAAGGAGCAAGTGTCGGCTGATTAATGTGGTCCGAGATGCGGGTGATGTTTTGTTGGACGCCGTCGACAGGAATTTTAGAAACCGGAAACGTAGTCCCTTTGATCAATTGCCATTTCTAGCAGTTTAGGTTAAAACATTCAAAACTTAACGATTATTCCATGATTTCTCATATTTAACATAATGAAATAAACAGTACTTTTGTTTATAAGTTTTGTTTCTGCTTACAACCTGTTTTCCCGTTACTTATAACTTATTACCATTTTATGTTATTGTTCGGCTTTACTGTGGTAGGGCCACGCAACAGTGTTCACTGTTGTGCGAATGGGCAGGTCCGTCAGATTTAGTTCCACGACCTCACAGAAGACTGGCGTAAAGCAGAAGTTTTACACTTCTGCGTTTCGTCTGGTGAGTGAGGTAGCCGGGGCCACTTTATTAAACGTGGCACGTATCTGTAACCCTAAAGATGTTGCAAATGTTCACGGGCGGCGGTTATCACTTAACATCAGGTGTGAGCCGACAGCTCGTTTGCCAATTTCTCACATAAAAAAATATATATATGTCAATGTGACAGATGATACAGAGCGTATGTTATGGAATGAGATAGAAGTCTATAGAATCGCAATCTAATAACACCAGTTGGCGTAATTTGGGTGCCTCAATTTCGGTGCGCTAGTGTCTTCTTTGTATATAATATCATTATCGCAGGTCGCAGAAGTGTGGATACGAATATCGGAAATGGGTATGGTTCAACAGTTGGCTTACCTGCAGCTCCTTTCCCTCGCAACAGGGCACAAGCATTGGCAATTCCTCCCTATGCTTTTGGCAGGCGTTCAAATCGGTGGCCACGTTGTCACCGCTGGCCACCGGGTTCATCGGCCTCAGGGAGACATCGGACGACCTTTTCTCCTTCACCTCGAAGGCGTGCGAAGACAGCACCCGCGCGGGAATGCTAACATTCATAATGCCGAGGTTCGCGATCAGCGGTTTCTGTTCGTGGAGCAACTGCATGCCTGGACCTTTGTGGATCTTAGCCGGTTTGCTTTGTTTTGCTGAATACGGTGGTGGTGTTTTGGATCCTTCTGATTTGTGATTATAAAAGACGATTTGACGTTTCCATTTTTAAAAGTGGTCCGAACATAATTGACAGCCGATTTAGCACGGAGGTCTTATTGTTTAAAAGAGGTCTAGATATATAAATTTACTTACTAATTATTTATATTTTTTAATATTATAGTTTTTTTTTTTATATTCATCTATAATCTGACATGATCCCTTGTTATTTCCATCCATAAATAAATCTTGTAGTTGTTATAATTATTATGATAAAGGTATGTGGGGAGAGTTCATCAACTTAGCAAAATGCTCCACTCTTTTAGGGATCAAAGTCAGCAAAGCGGAGTTCATTTTAGCATAGTGTTATTTTTTAGTGAAAAAATTGATAAAAGGAAAAATCCACTTAGCGGGCCAAGTGAGTAGATATCGGAAATTGATCACGTATCAACACTTACCAAATAATAGCGAAAATGTAGGCGGCGTGTATCAAAGGCCCCGAAAATTAATTAAGACCGTGACTGTTTCTGAGAGCAAAAGCAAATGATAAAGAATAAGGTGAAAATATTTCTCAGTATATTAATAATATGATAAACGTCACAGCAATACATGAAAATACTTTTAGTTTTTCCACCTTGCGAACATCAACCCCAAATATCAATAAATATTTTGTTTAATATTTAGGTACCAATGTATTTTCCGTATCATACGTTCTATATCATCTGTCAAATAAAAAGTAGGTATCTTTATTCAATATAGACTTAACTTATGCTACTATTGAACGTCAACAAAAAATTTACCACTGCACCGGTTCACTAAACTAGACCTGCACAGAGAAGAATCGGCAAGAAACTTCGCAGTCTTGTTCTTTTTGTGATGCAATTATACAAACTTATTTAGGTATAAAATCAGCAGCAGCCAGGGTTCTTGCAAGTGCAGAGCAAGAGTCATTTCCACTCATCCTTGTCCTCAATGTATTTTTGGACATTATAGTAGGCCCTTGCCATTAAGGTAGCTTTTACAAATTGTTTGAAATTATTTATACTTAGTTGTTTGTGGATGTCACCTATTTTATTATAAAACACACATTCACTTATATAATATATAATGAGCGGAACAGTTTTTAAAAACCGCGCAGTATGGACATACGTATGGAATTATTCTTTGTCTGCCTTTGTATATTTTTTGGATCGTTGCAATTGTTTACTTAGTGAGTTTATCAAGCCGAGTGTAAGATTTTTAAAAAATGAACGGTAAGGATGTAAAAATAAATGGGAAGCCGTAGCAGTAGACGGAAATGATATAATTATTATTGGTTGATGTTTTACAAAAAAATTTACACAAATAGTGTTACATAACAAAGACAGCTATTGAAAAAATTCTACCAGCTGTTGCTATAGCAACAGCATCAACAAATGCACAAAACTCAGTCTGCGACCACTTTTTCCGGATCGTAAAAGTCCCCTTCCGACTCTGTTGGACTTGATTTCTTCTGAAAGTAGAAAAATATATTAACATTGAAAGCTTGCACATTTTTTATATTAATATTAGCTAAACATTATTTTTTATGCTTAAAACCGAGCTTTTGCTCTTTTTGATTCCAAGTGGTTCTTTTAAAATGAAATAGTCAGATGCTAAGGGGATAAAAATAAACTTTTTTTGTTTGTTTGAACTACAAAAACCGTTTACACCTTAACACAAGACTTTATTAGCTGTCGTTGTTAATATCTATTCCCAAATGTTTTGAAAATACATTTCGCCGATACATCAAAGATTAATGAACAAACACATTAGGAACACCAAAACTTTTCTATTACAATACTAAATTAAATCTCTCAGTAATAACGTTTTTTTCGCAACGTGGATTTACAGCTTCTAAAAACGATTTGGATTGTAGCAATTCAAAAAACTTCGAGCAACGAATAGATAGAAGGTAATAATAAAATGTATTTATTTAGCTTTACTAGATAGAAGAAAATGTAAGTGGGAAAGATTTCCTATAATTCGGGTTAAGGCACGTTATAGATTGTGTTTGTGAAGGTATTGCGCAAATCTCTTTCGAGAGTCGAAAGTGATTTAATTTTGAAGCACTCTGAGAAATATTATTGCGCATTTTGTTTATTTATTTTTATAGAAGTATTAGTCGTTTTCGCGAGTCTTTTCTAATCGATGGGTAATTATTATATAAATCTATTTTGAAATGTTTATTGCTAACTTTGATACCGGCCATAAAGTAGATTTTCAAGCTTTTACTTATTTTACCGAAAGTTAAAAATATTACGCCTTGCACGTAAGAATGTAAAATTGCAAATTATTGTATCTATAGGATTAAAATAATAATAAAATAAAAATAATCAGAAACCGATAGGAATGAAACGATAATTGAGATCATTATTACGATGATGCCACTGCTGGTCAAAGACCTCCTCTGTACAGAGGGTATAAGGATCCACCACTGTTGCATGACTGTTGAATCTAGAATTCGAGAATCTTTCTTCCTCATCTGCAATCGCTTCTTCGAGCTATATAGCCAGCCCAATGCCACTTCAGCTTACTATTCCTGTGAGCTACAACGACAACCTTTGTTATACAACCACTTAGAGAAATGCCGAGTATAGGCCGTTCCATAGCTCGTTGAGCGACTTCCTTAGCGTAGAACGACCAACTGATGGACTGACGATCTGTGCAAATGTGCGGGAAGTCGATAAATTCACGTGGCTCAGGATAATCCTTTGTGGTTGTCTTATTTTATGTGTGAAGAGGCAAGCGAGCTGGTGGTGCATCTGATTTAAATGATAACCGCCGCCCATGGACATTTGCAACACCCGTAGTCTTGCAGACGCGTTGCCACGTTGCCACCTTTTAATAAAGTGGGCTCGGGTTATCTCACTCACCAGACGAAATGCCTTCTGCGCCTCTGCGCAATACGTGTAGAAGTTTGTGTGGGGAGGCCTATGTATTCAGGAGTGGACTCGATCTGTGTGGCGAGGCCTGAGTGTTCAGCCGTGGACTCGATTTGTGTGGGGAGACCTGTGTGCTCGATTTGTGTGGTTAGACCTATGTGCTTGATTTGTGTGGGGAGACCTGTGTGCTCGATTTGTGTGGGGAGACCTGTGTGCTTGATTTGTGTGGGGAGACCTGTGTGCTCGATTTGTGTGGGGAGACCTGTGTGTTCAGCGGTGGACTCGATCTGTGTGGGGAGGTCTGTGTGTTCGGCAGTGGACTCGATCTGCGTGGGGAGGCCTGAGTGTTCAGCAGTGTACTCGACATGTGTGGGAGGCCCGTGTGCTCAGCCGACTCGAACAGTTTATGCAGGAAATGACGAACGACGACGACGACCGAGGCAGTCGAGTCCGCCCACCTGCTTGCTCCGCTTCATCTCGGCCTGCAGCGAGCCGAGCACCCTGCGCGCCAGGAAGTCGCCCACGTGGCGCAGCTCGGGCGCGTCGCCGTACACGCGGCAGTCCACCGCCGCGCCGGCCAGGCACTCGACCGCCTCGCCCCACTCCACTGGCGAACGCGAGGGCACACGTGAGCCTCGCGCGAACGAACGCCCACGAATAGGCCCATATATACAGCGTGTCGTTGCCACCGCGACAAAAGTAGTTGTATAGGATGTTACAAAATTTGTAACATCCTATACAACTACTTATGACTGATTCATACATTCAGAGACTTTTTCATTCGTTGCCACAGCGTCGCATTATAAGCCTCTCTTTCTAACAGTATGTTTTGTGTCTTTTAAATTCATTCAACCCATTCATATGCTTTGTGACCTTTACAAATGAACTTAACATTAAAGTTTTATACTTAAGGGTGTTCGAAAATTCTTTGTTTTGGAAAATTTGATAACTCGTTAAATATTAATGTTTAAAGAATGTAAATCTTTAATACAATTTTAAAAAGTTATCCTCTATATGTGTGTTCATTTATTGTTGCGATGGTAAAGACACGCTGTATATATATGTATCATCTATGAATAGGACAATCGGACCAACAATACTGAGGGAGTCTTTAATCTGAGAATTATTTTGCCATAAACAGATTATTGAATGATTATTAAGCGCGAAACAACTGCTTAAATTAATGTTTAATAAGAAAAATTGTATATACGAAAGAAAAATTTAAAACGTTTCCTGTGCAAATGAGTAGAGCAAATTTGTGATCTATATCTACAAAAAATAATATTTAATAAACATTAATTCCTTTAAATTATTTTAAGCAAAAAATTTTTTTAATTCAGTAGTGGTCAATTTACATCTATCGTGTACAGAAAGCATAACATTGATTCGTGTAAAGACTTGGAATTCATTGTATATGTTACTATAATCTCTTCAATATACCATGTTGTGGGTCAAGCTTTCATGAAAACAAAAAGATGCACTGCTTAAAGGAAATGATTTTAAACTTTACATATTTTTATATTGTTTTCTGCACTACATTTTTATAAATCTAAGAAAGTTTTATTATTTTTTGATTATTTCAATATGTAAGTAAATTATTGTACATTTTTAAGATCTAGTTGGTATACTCGCTATGTATTTAATACTCACGAGTCGTTAGGTTCGATTAATCAATCTGAGTAAGTATTTGTATGAGGTATAAGTAATTAAGCGTGGCTAAGTTCCGGAGGTAAAACACCCCACAATACAGGATTAACAATTCTATAATGCGGGTAACGATTATCGAAAAGATTAAAAATGTTTAGCTACATGACATTGAATTTTTCAATCAGTAAGGGGAACAGTGTTATGGTAATTAATTAAAAAAATCGCATAGACTTATATCATTAATTGGCATTCAATTATACGATGCAAAATTTAAAGCTATACCTCACATTGCTTAGCCACAAGTCAATAACTTTGATAAATAATTCATCTCAATTATTATGCTAACAGTTACCGCCGCATAGTAGTCGCTACCAGTTTTTGTTGTCTACCTTACGTACCGACTTTTAATTATTAACTACCTTAGTAATATCAAGTGTTTCCGTACCCATCTTAATTGATAAAGTGTGAAAAACCCGTCAAAGTGCAAGCCAATGATACTCAGTACTAACTTGATACTCTCAGTCGGGGTAGTGTCACTTTGCCAAGAGTAAGGTCCATGCCTTTAATAACTTTCTGGTTGACCGAACGTGACAAAATTCTGGCCGCTAAGTTGACCATCTGAAATAAAAATGTTAAGATTATCTTAATGTTAGATATTAGTTAGGTCACATTTTTTTTAATGTTGCTGAAGTTGCTGAAGATGTTTTATGCGTTGACAACCTATTGAAAATTGGTCTCCGGTCACCTCAATCACCAGACGAAACACGAAAGTATTATACTTCCACTTTACGCCGGTCTTCTGTGAGGCCGTGGTACTTACCCGGACGGGCCTGCCCATTCGTGCAACAGCCGAGGCTGCCGCGTGGCCCTACCACCGTAATCACATCTTTTAGGAAAAAAAGTCATCATCAAATTCACGTTGTAAGCGGTTTAAGCTATGCTTTATTACGAGTGGCCGCCTGCCTGAAGTCAACCCTCCTTGGCAAAAAAATTATCATGAAAAAAGTAATTAAGTAGTCATTCCCAAGGCAGGAAAGCGACAACTTGTTTTAAGAGCAATTTTCAAAGGATTAAAATTTGCAGCCATGGAATTTAAAAAGGCATCAGGTACATTTTTAAATACTATTACTGTATGCACTTGTATTACCTCCAGTAACTTTTTCCGTTCGGGTAAATGGCTTGGCACGGAAACTGGCACTGGTAAGTCTTCGATTTTATCCAAGAAAGTCACCTCTGCCAGTTTTGTTTTTGATGGCTGGAATGCATAATTTTATTCGAATATCTCATGAAGTGTTATGTAAACGATAAAGAAAATTGTTGTTTTTTCTCTGAAAGCGATTTAAATAATAATTTTTTGTATTTATTTTATAGACACGTCAAATTAATCGAACAAACATCTGTTGTGTCAAGATCAAGACCTCTGTGCGGGATAACTTAGTTTAATAGTGTTTGTATAAGTAATTTACTGTTTAATTCATGTAACGTAAGTCGAAATAATTGCTTAAAACTTTGCTTAAAACTTGCTTAAAACTTGCTTATTTTTGATTGCCTATAAAAATGTCTGTATAATGAAATACTATAAGATTTTAATTGTATAACTGGTTTTATATGACTATTAACACATATGCTGTAAAATTAGTACGATAAAATAATTAGGGAAAAAGTGTATTTTCATAGTGTCATCGTAATTAATTAAATTTAATTATTTGTAATATTAATATATTATAGTCATAAGACCTCGAATTCTTTAAGGTAACGCACCAAGAGGGTGCCAAAGAAAAAATGTAAGCTCTCTGATTGGATACCAATACGACAACCAATCAGAGAGCAGGAATTAATTCCCACAGGATCACATAAATATAGCGGCGTTTCGGGGCATCATCGCCATTCACCCGCTTCGTGCTTCCACACGGAACGGACGTAAATCTGAGCCGGAGGGCCCATGCCAACCGACCCGGAAGCCATCTTGCAACCGTTGTGACTAATATCATTTCTTTTATCTCTCGGTGTGCACTGCTTGCCTCATCGCTGTCGTGTTTCGCGGTCTACGGTTAGGGAAGTCTCAAGCAAGAAGAGTGAAGAAAAATTATAGAAGAAAGAAGAAACGTTACAGAAGAACGAAGAAACTTTGCCCGACTTCCGAGCGGATAGTGTTAGTGTAGTGTTGTGATCGTAGGCAGGTTCCTGTCCGTAAGTAGAATTCTACACACATTTCTCGTCTCGGAGGCGGCATTATAATTTTATCTGTGTGCTTGTTGCATTAGGCGACAGCTAGGTACTCACCCTAGCGCACCTAAAGCGCAGGCGATTAAAGGTAAATTTTAGGCACACACCTCCCTGCCGCAAGGTGGGGAGGCCTATCTAGAAAACACACGCCGGCGGGGCGCAAGCCCCAAAGGCACAAGCGTCGTCATGGGTTCCCTCTTAGAGGAGTTCCTTCGACAGGAATGCCCCGAAGTATGGGCTAAATATTTAAGTTTCGCGAGGGAACGACGCCTTGTCGTCGAATTCTCCAGCGACAGTCCGGCTTCACTGGCTGCCGCCTCGCCGCCAACTCCGGTGCCCTCTGCGCCAGCTATTGTGGCGCCCTCTGCGACAATTGATACGCCCGTCGCGTCGACTTCCGCCGCCGCGAACGAACCCAATGCGCCTTCCGCGCAAACCATTTCGGCCCCCTTCCGCGCTGTCGTTCCCGACTCACAATCGGACGGCGGCTCAGACATGGAGGTCGAAACGACCCCCGCTAACAACGCGAACTCCGACGGCTTCACCGTCGTCAAATCGCGAAAAAAGGGCAAGAAACGCCCCGCTTCAGACAGCGACCCCGAAAGCGAGGCCGCCCCGTCAAACCGTCCGACCGCGACGCCCGCCAAAAAGGCAGCCGCGTCTGCCCAGTCGATACCGACATTCGCCTCCGAGCGAAAAATCAAGCCACCGCCGCCAATAATTATACAAGATAAGGCAAAGTGGCACCAGGTTTGTTCGTGGTTTGAACGCCACAACATCCGAGACCCCCGGTCAAAAAATACAAATATGGGTATCCGCGTATACCTCGATTCATCAGACGATTTCCGCCGCGTAACAAAGTACTTGCGCGAAGCTAAGGTAGGTTTCCACACCTACTCACTACCTGAAGAGCGTAAACTTCGGGTCGTAATTAAGGGCGTCCCAAAAGAGTCGGATGTCGATATGGCTAAGGTCGACAACCGCACTCAGGGATACCCGGTTCACGCCGTGCGTCGTCTCAGGCACCCTCGCACCCGTGTCCCTATGGACATGGTCATGGTGGAACTTAACCCTACCCCGAGAGTAAGGCCATTTTCAACCTTAAGAGGGTCTGTGGGCTCAGTGACTTAGTCATCGAGCCCCCACGTAAACCAGGTGTTGTGGCACAGTGCCACAACTGTCAACATTTTGGCCACACGGCCAATAACTGCTTCGCTCACCCAAGGTGTGTCAAATGCACCTGTGACCACGGCACAACCGAGTGCACGAGGCCGAAAGATTGCGCAGATCCACCGAACTGCGTAAACTGTAACGCCACCGCCCACCCGAAGAATAATGAAGACATTAGAATCAAGATTCGGCAGACCAGAGTCAATCGCAATTATGGAAATAGAAGCTCTTCGTTCACTACCACGTCTCACCGAGTCACCGAGGGACATATGCATCTTCGCAACTAAAGTAAGCAACATCACGGCTACTTTAGAAACACTAAGCTGCATGCACTACATGTACAACCCAGAAGTAGCGAAGACCATCGTCGACAAGTTTACGCCGACACTTCGATATCGCTTCTACGACTTCGCAGCAAACCAACCGAAGGAATCTCCCGACCTAATGAAAATTGAAAAGTTCCTGCGAAGAGAAGCCGACTTATGCGCACCATACGCATTACCCGAGCCGATAGTACATCATGCTGTACAGAGAAGACCACAGAAGATAAACAACGTCATCGAGAAACCACCACAGTCAAAGTGCCCCGTGTGTGAAGAATCTGGTCACACTATACCAGAATGTGAACGCTTCAAACGCAGCAACATCAACGACAGATGGGACACGGCGAAAGCAAAACGCCTGTGTTTTCGGTGCCTTCGCTTCAGGAACAAGGTACACAACTGCCGCAACAGACAATGCGGCATAGACAACTGTAAGTACTTTCACCACAGAATGTTGCATCATACGAAGCCACCGAATAAAGAAGAAAATAAAGAAAGCGACGCTGCGCCAGAAGCCATCAACTCTGCTTGGACCATCGAGAGGAAGCAATCCTACTTGAAAATTCTGCCGGTTCAAGTGAGGGGACCACGGGGAATAACGAACATTTATGCACTGATCGACGACGGGTCAACGGTCACTCTGATAGACGACGCCATAGCAAATTGCGTGGGAGCCAAGGGACCTACCGACCCACTGAAGATAGAAACGATCAACGAGCTGAAGACATCCGAGTCGTGCTCAAGAAGGGTCACCATCACGCTGAAAGGTCTCAACAACCAGGAAGAAGAAATACAAGCACGCACGGTCAAGAATTTACAAGTGTCGTCACAACGTGTCTCCAAGAAACTGGTGGAAGACTGTCAACACCTCGTAGACATCCGTAAGTACCTCATCTATAAATACGTGAAACCACGGGTACTCATCGGGCAAGACAACTGGCACCTCCTCGTCACCAGCGAAGTAAGAAGAGGAAACATGGGACAACCAGTCGCATCGCTCACACCGTTAGGATGGGTACTCCACGGCAGCCAAACAAGAGGAGCTACCAGGAAGATTGATTTCGTGACACACATATCGGAAAAAAGAGACGATCTCGACGACCTGGTACGAAGATACTTCGAGATGGACGCTCTCTGTATACAACCGAAGAAGCCCAAGTCTGGAGCACAAGCGTCTGGAGGAACAAGCTCTGCGCATACTGAATAAAAACACGAAGCAGACAAGTACAGGTCACTTCGAAACCGGCCTACTATGGCGCAACGAGCATACAGTTCTTCCGGACAATTACGACAACACCCTCAAGAGACTCCTGGGTATAGAAAAGAAGATAGACCGAAACCCTCAGCTGAAAGAAAAATACACAGAACAAATGGAGAGTCTTCTCAAGAAGGGATATGCCGAGCAAGCCCCACCAGAAAAGACGCCGTCGAAAACGTGGTACCTACCTCACTTCGGCGTCACGCATCCATTGAAACCGGACAAGCTACGCGTCGTTCACGACGCCGCCGCAAAAACCAAGGGAGTAGCATTAAACGATATGTTGCTTAAGGGGCCCGATCTACTGCAATCCCTGCCAGGAGTCGTCATGAAGTTTCGACAACATCGAATCGCGGTGACGGCTGACATAAAAGAAATGTTCATGCAAGTAAAATTGAAGCCAGAAGACAGAGACGCCCTACGATATTTATGGCGCGGTGACCGTCGCGACGACCAACCGCCTACGGAATATAGAATGACGTCATTAATCTTCGGCGCCTCCAGCTCACCGTCTACAGCAATTTATGTGAAAGATTTGAACGCAAGAAAGTTCGCCGACACTCATCCCGAAGCCGCTGCCGCCATCATAAAGAAACACTACGTGGACGACTACCTGGACAGCTTCGAAAATATAGAAGACGCGATACGTATAACGCAAGACGTACGCGATATACACCAGAAGGCAAACTTCGAACTTAAGCTATGGAAGTCTAACTCGTCGGAGCTGATGGAAGCACTCGGCGAAAAGAACCCCAAGGAGGACTTACACCTCTACGCCAACGGGGAACAAATCGAACGAGTGCTCGGAGTAATATGGAAACTCACTACCGACGAACTCACCGTCAATCTCAACATGGCGCGTGTTCCGGCACAATTAATGGAAGGTAAAACGCCTACGAAGAGAGAAGCCCTTCGCGTGGTAATGTCGCTCTTCGACCCCCTCGGCTTCGCCTTACCCGTCACCATTAAGGCAAAACAACTGCTGCAGGAAGTGTGGCGAAGAGGAACCGGCTGGGACGACGAGATCGACACCGACCTAGCTGCGCAATGGGAAGAATGGACGACACACCTAGAAAGTTTACGCGACGTCTCCATTCCAAGAAGATATGTGGGATACAGCGAGGCCAGCACAATAGAACTACACACATTCACCGACGCCAGCGAAGCTTCATATTGCGCGGTATTATATTGGCGAACGATCAACGCAAGTGGTACGGTGAACGTATCACTAATTACAGGGAAAGCCAAGGTAACACCACTAAAACTAACATCAATCCCTCGCCTGGAACTTCAAGCTGCCGTTATGGGAACGAGACTCGCTGAAAACGTGATTGAAGAACACGAAATAAAACCAGATAGAAAATTCTTCTGGACGGACAGCAAAACAACGCTCTCCTGGATACGAACAGGTTCGCGTTCATACAAACCGTACGTCGCTCACCGTCTAGCTGCGATAGAGGAAAACTCGAAGGTCAACGAGTGGCGAAGGGTTCCCACAAAAATGAACGTAGCAGACGACGCCACACGCGACGTGCCAACTAGATTCAATAGAGACCACCGGTGGTATAAGGGACCCGACTTCCTCTACGAGCACGAGAGCCTATGGCCCACCGAACCGCCGGCGAGAAGCGACGTCACCACAGGGGAGGAGAAAATCAACTTCATCCGCACACAAAGGGTTAATCTACGAGAAAGCTTACCCGACGTCGCACGCTTTTCAAAATGGGATAGACTTCTATACGCAACAGCGCGAGTTCTACAGTTTATAAAATTATGTACACCAGAGAAGCACAAGGTCCACTACAAAAAGAATAGAAAAAACAAAGAAAAGGACCCAGCATGGAAAAATGTTGATAAACCGTCGCACGAATCAAGTACGTGTGGCAAGCCTGTTTACCCAGAGGAAAAGAAATTCATCCCTTTAACAGCCGAGCTCCTCATAGAAGCAGAAAACTTATTATTGCGATCCTCCCAAGAAGATTCGTTCGCCGAAGAAATGGAAGACCTAAGAAAAATGAAAAAGCTAAGCAAAGACAGCCGACTTCGTCACCTCAGCACAACTATCGAAGATGGGTTCATCCGACTTAGAAGCCGTATCCAAGCAACGGAAGGGGTGTCTCAACAACTTAAAAAACCCCTCATAATAGACGGTGACCATCCGACGGTCAAGTTATGGGTGAAATCGGTACACGAAAAACTGCATCACGCGGGAATCGAAGCCACAGTCAACGAATGCAGACAACAACACTGGATAATACGTTTACGCCCCACAGTACGCACCATAATAAGAGCGTGTTTCTTCTGCAAAATGAGGACGCAAAATCCACCGTATCCTCGAACCGGAGACCTCCCAGCGTGCCGCTTAGCACATCACCAACGGCCATTCACATATACAGGAGTCGATTACTTCGGCCCTCTATCCGTAACAGTTGGAAGAACGAAGCAAAAAAGATACGTCGCAATATTTACCTGCCTCACGACAAGAGCTATACACCTAGAGATCGCGAGTTTGCTAAGCACCGACTCCGCAGTAATGGCGCTGCGGAGAATGATTTCGAGGAGAGGATGTCCTACACAAATTTGGTCGGACAACGGGACAAATTTGAAAGCCGCCGATAAAGAATTAAGAAAATCAATAGACGCCGCCACTATGGAAGAAGCGGCCAAGAAGACTATATCTTGGCGGTTCATCCCGCCCGCCGCTTTTATCATGGGCGGAGCATGGGAGCGCCTCATACGCTCCGCAAAGAACGCGCTCACCGCCACGCTCCACGAACGACACCCGAATGAAGAGGTACTCTCAACGCTGTTGGCAGAAGTGGAATATACGGTGAACAGTCGCCCGCTGACTCACGTGTCAGTCACCGCCGAAGATCCGGAGGCCCTCACCCCCAACCACTTCCTGCTGGGGGGTAACGGAAGGGTGCCGCAGCCGGGGACCTTCAACGAAAACGACGAAATATCAAGAGCCAGCTGGAGAGCAGCGCAACGTCTCGCCGATGTCTTCTGGTCGCGTTGGGTACGCGAATACCTGCCTGAGTTACAACACCGGCGGGAGCCGCATGGACGTGGTTTAAGTGTTCAAAGTGGTGACTTAGTGCAAATCGTGGACGCTAATTTACCGCGAAATGTGTGGCCCCGTGGCAAAGTTGTCGCTACGTATCCCGGTCCTGACAACATCGTGCGCACGGTCGACGTGCAGACGAGAGGTGGAGTACTACGGCGGCCAGTCAGGAAGCTGGTCATACTACCACGTGCTGAAGATTCATCAACGGAGGATGCTGGACGAGCTACGAGCGACGCTTCGACCTGAGCTGCCCACGAGCAGCAAACCCGCACCAGTAGTTATGCAACTCAGTTGCACGGCGGGAGAATGTGCGGGATAACTTAGTTTAATAGTGTTTGTATAAGTAATTTACTGTTTAATTCATGTAACGTAAGTCGAAATAATTGCTTAAAACTTTGCTTAAAACTTGCTTAAAACTTGCTTATTTTAGATTGCCTATAAAAATGTCTGTATAATGAAATACTATAAGATTTTAATTGTATAACTGGTTTTATATGACTATTAACACATATGCTGTAAAATTAGTACGATAAAATAATTAGGGAAAAAGTGTATTTTCAAAGTGTGATCGTAATTAATTAAATTTAATTATTTGTAATATAGTCATAATACCTCGAATTCTTTAAGGTAACGCACCAAGAGGGTGCCAAAGAAAAAATGTAAGCTCTCTGATTGGATACCAATACGACAACCAATCAGAGAGCAGGAATTAATTCCCACAGGATCACATAAATATAGCGGCGTTTCGGGGCATCATCGCAGTCGACGAGCATTAAGATCTACCAGTGGAACAAGCAACTAAAAGAAGTCAGCAAGAAAGAAGCCCTGCAGCCTGGAAGAGGAGGAGCCTGCAGCCACTAGAAGAACGTTTTATTGCATAAGAAAAAAACTTGTACAAACGTCTGAAAATAAACAGTGTTCTTTCTGTCTTCACGACATTCTTGTTTCTTTACCAATCCAGCACACTGAAACGTGCATTGCGCACAACCTCAATAAATCAATTCTTTAAGTTAATTCAAGCAACCATGCAGCAATATGTTGTGAAATTGGATACATTAAAAAAAAATAAAAAGATCAACTGTTTTAAAACTATTTAAAATGATGATAATTTTGAACAGCAATTAGTTTTAGATAACATATAACAGAAAGCTCTACGCTTTGCAGTGATTTAGATAGAGACAAAAGCTAGAAGATAGCTTGATGCTGATACTAGTACAATCTGGTTGCTTTTGGTACAATCCAAAAAGTCAGTGTTATTTAAATTTTGAATCCCCCAAAGAACCAGGATGCCCAAACTTTTGAATCTAAAATCTATATTGGATTCTCCAATTAGTTACAAGGACCAAACATTGCAAAAGTAACAAAATAACTTCGGTATGTTATAATGAAATTATACAAAATCAATATTATAGTAATAAATGTGATTTCAGGAGACATCATTAGACGGATGGGAGTTGCTCGTTCTTAGGTCTTACATACTGATCCTTAATCTCGGCAAAATTCAAATATCAAGGAGTGAATTCAATGTTAAAACAACATCTAGGTGGCGTAGCTATCTTGAGATGGCCCAACATAACCTACATTTTTGACATCCTACAACATGAATGTACTGCAGGTTGGAGTGTAAGGTTATTTGTGAGTTGTGAAAAATAAAATTTTAAAAATTGTTACGCTTGACATTATATATGTTTAAGTGAATGTGACAGACGATATAGAACGTATGATATGGAAAGAGATAGCAGTCTATAGAATTGCAATATAATTACACAAATTGGCGTAATTTGAGTGCCAATTTTGGTGCGCTAGTGTTTGTTTGTATTATAATACGTACCACCGGTGTCGGTGGTCGATCTTTTATGCTCTTGAAGTCGATGTCCGCTTCGGTGTCGGGAGCAATGTTCGTGATCTCGCCGAATCCCAAAGAAGCGTTGCGAGCGGTCGCGAAACGATGAGTAAGCTCCGACGCGACTTTGGCTGACCAGCGGGGCTTTTTCTTTGACCCGCTGAAATAAAAGTTAAAAATCAAACATGAATTAAAGGAAATATTTCCGTCTTTGCATGGTGACAAAAGTTAAAATGAATATCCTGTAATGTTATTATCTTGTCATATAACGAAAAAATCGAATTATTTTAATTTGTTATAATTATATTGATAGTTCAATAATATCAAATCTTAAAATTATCGGGTAAATATAACCTGATGGTTGTTTTTTATACTGGAACGTAAACAGGGCAAACAGGACGAAACTTAAGAATTTTAACGGATTTTATCGCGTTTTATTTTGTTTTTGAATCCCCGATGTTTGTCCCTTTCCATGGTTCATAGGAACACGGGACAAACCGATAAAATTCGTAAACTGTAAAGTAAGGTAACAGCCTATAAATGTGCCAATGCTGGACAAAGGCATCCTCTGTGAAGAGGGTATCAGGGCATAGTCCACCACACGACTCCACTGCGGATTGGTGGACTTCACATATTTTAGTAATATTCATAATGTTTTCCTTCACCGCCGAGCACGTGACAAACTGATTTGTTCATAAACTAATTTTATCGGTTTGTTCCGTGACTGTCAGTTTAATGTAACCATGGAATGAAACTATGACGTCGTTTGTACTTCTTGATGACTTTGCCTCACTTAACAAAGCTTGCACAGTTTACATTAATACCTACCGCCTTTTGTCAGCTCCCTGTCTGAAGTTGAAGAAGGCATGCGCCGCCCTAGACCGCACGAGGCTTTCCACGTCGCGTAGCAAAACGTGCACGCGTCGACGGGCGAACTCCATCACTGTCGACTCTAATAACTGAAATAAATAATAAATATTGTGTTTCGAAACAATTTAGCGTTCTTAATAAAGGACGCTAATTTAATTTTAAACGACTTTCAAAACGAATGATAATTATTTACATGCTACGGTAAAAATAATAAAAATTGCCGTCACACTTTTAATTTGTATATATATTACTCTCTTTGTATTTTAGAGTATTTTATGAATAAAATGTAGTTTAGAGCTACAAATATTAAGTCTATGTTAGATCTGGATAATAACATTTACGGTTTTTTTTTATTTGGGGACAAATACTGAATATGAATTTCAACACCAGAAAGATATTTACTACAGACTGAAAGTTCTTATGGTATATTACATTGTAATCAATTGTGCTGCTCAAAATACACCAAAATTATTTTTACGTGTTAATACCTATGAGCCATCATACCCTGTAAAGGTTATTTTGCCTGTTCGCCTTCTTCGTGTAATTTACTAAAAAAATAAGTACAATTTCTGGTGGTATTTTAAAGTTTATAAGTGCATGAAGCAAGAGTGAATTGAATAAAAATAATATAAATAAGTCCAAGTAAGGTCAAGTGCTTATTCGTGTCAAGATATATTGAACAATATTATATTGCACTTTCAGCTGTTGTGAAACCCTAGTAATATCGAAAACTTTACATCTCGATGTGTCGAGCCTTACTTCGTCTATCAGCTTCAGGGGAGCCGATGGCAAAACTGTGGCCATATCCATCTTGGTCCTCGCTTGTCCTAGGGTCACGAACGGGTCACCTTGCGTCGATACGGCACTCGTCATAGCTTCATGGGCCAGGCGTAGCGCCAGTTCCGGGCTCATTCCTTTAGCCCCGCGCTTCGACTGTCGTTGCAAAATTGACATTAACTAGTTACTGGTAGTATAATGTAAATAGTTTCAGTGGTAATCTATAGCTACTGTGGCTGGACACAGCGTTAAAGGCACTTGATTTTGCTGTCTATTCATAAATTTTGTTTATAATCAACGTGTTTATAATTAACGTAGTATGACATGTGTATGAACCCTGTTTACACTACACTTCTTATAGTATCAGGCTTTCAAGACCAGAGTTTTGCATTGTGACAAATCATTTACTCATTTTCTGTGTATGTTCGTACGCAAGGGTGCTTCAAATGCTTAGAAACAATGTAGAAAAAGACGTTAAAATTTTCGTCGGTGTGGCAATCAGCCGTTTAGATCAGTGGCTAGAGCATCAGGCCGCGAATGCCGAAGACGTGGGTTCGATTGCCACAGCGGCGACAATCTTTTCGTACTTTTTCTACATATTTTAATGTTCAATCTTAAGTGCAAAGATTAGCTCTATAAACGATTTAAATTTCTACCCAATTGATATTAAGAAATCGAAATTACCAAATAACCTGGCTGAAGCTTGATAGGTTGTTTATTAGCACAAGCGAGGCGGTGATTCACCTGATGTTAATTGATAATTACCGCCTAGGACATTTGCAACACGCGTAGGGTTGCAGATGGGTTGCCACCTTTTAATAAAGTGTACTTCGGTAACCGCACTCACTAGACGAAACGCGGAAGTGTAACACTTTCACTTTCCGCCGGTCTTCTGTGATATCGCGTTACCTCCCCGGACGGGCCTGCCCATTCGTGTCACAGGGAGAACTGTTGCGTGGCCCTACATAACAAAATCTACATGACAGAATTAATCACTGCTAACTATGGATAACGTGATTTTGTGACGTCGTTACCTTCTCGAACTCCATGCCCATTTTCCTCACGAGCTTCGCCGCTTTCACGTCCCCACCGTGCAACAGTTTCCAATTGGCGAGACGTATGCGTTGCAGTTCCAGGTCGTTATTATACGCGTAGATTTCGGCTTTCCTGGAAGATCAGCAGTTACGTTGGCAATTGCACAGTCATATTGGCAGTTTAATGCAATTTTGTGCGAAGACTTCCAAGGGCCACGCAACAGTCTCCGCTGTTATACGAATGGTCAGGTTCATCCGGGTAAGTACCACAACCTCACAGAAGACCGGCGCGCTGCTATTCAGACTCTATTCATTGAAAAAAAAAAAAAAAAGAAAAAACGTAAGAAACGGTTTCGCGTACAACTCCTATAATTCCATTCTCCGGGATACCACAAATGATTGTGTGCAAGCGTACGTATCGTTTATTAAATGAAAATATATGTGAAAACATAAAAAGGAAATGAATGTGAACATTAAAGCGATTTTCTGTTAAACTCGAAGTAAAGTAGAATGCTACTAAGTCTACGTTTTTTACAATTGGATATCTCAGTACATTAAGTCTGTCTCGCCAACGATAAATTGTACGGCGGCGGCAGTTAAGGATGACATGAACTGGAGCCAGCTTTTTTAACTTCTACGTTTGTTTACGCCATTCGGTATTTATGTTCAGCAAGAGGAAGTACGGGAAGACAGGGGTGCAGATTGCTCAGGATAGTCAGTCTGTGAGGATGATGATGAAGTTAGTGAAAAAAAACGATGATTGAAAAATGCTGGAACTAGGAAGACCATCAATAAAGTTTTCAAAAACTCTAACCGCAAGAAAAACATAGCAAACGTTTAAAAAGAAATACAGAAGTTAAAGTTTAGAAATGATGTTTAGTAACGTTATTTCATCGTTTTTGGCATTTGACATCAACTAACGGCGGTTTCAATATTCTATCTGTCTGTAAATTTGGTCACTGGAAATAGAATTTTGACTCAAGTATTATGGAGCTGATGTCAAATACCTATCGCTAGTAACAAAATTTATAGATATAATATTGAAATTGGTCGTAAGATCCTCTTATACTCGTACAATATCCTTACACTCCAACAGAATTTGGAAGTTTGCTCTATTGTTGTTCTATCTCAATACTACTTACATTTTCACTCTGTACGTTACTTAGATAGAATTTATTTAGATTACTTTAAAATGTATGTAAAGAGCCATTGTTGTACAATCAGAAGTAGTTATAGATACAATCAGTCAGAAGTAACAGCCTATACATGTCCCACTGCTGGGCAAAGGCCTCCTCTATACAGAGGGTATCAGGGCATAGTCCACCACGCGGCCCCACTGCGGATTGGCGGACTTCACATATATTCGAAATATATTTTTTTTGTTATTATTTCGAAAATATGCAGGCTTCCTCACGATGTTCTGCTTCACCGCGGAGCACGTGATAAGTCAGCACTTAAGTTAAAAACTTCATAGTGCCGGCACCGGGGATCGAACTCAGGTTGCTCGAGTATATTGAATTAAAGGCGAGCGCCCGGACACTGAGCTATCACGGCTCTTCAGAAGTTATGATTTTATAAACTATCAAGGTTACAAAAATGAAATATTACAAAAAAGTAATGTAACAGTCTATGTATGGTCCAAATGTTTGGAAACCATGCCGCATTTTCAAAATCTTTGAAAATATGCAGGTTTACTTACGATGTCGATCAAATTTTCACGTCACGATGTGATGTGAAAATTTTTATTAATGAAATTCACCGAACGGACTATGATGTGACATCACAATATTCTAGATATATATAACAAATAATAAAGATGTTATTGAGGAGCGATATTTCATATAGCTAATATGATCGCACTAACCGCGTAATAAAATCTTTCGCTGGTAGTCCATGCTCTTGACTATGCGTATTCAATTCTGTGGTTTAAGGACACACTGAAGGAAATCTATTGCGTGTTGTCGTAGAAATATCTGTATTCGGTGGTAGGGCCACGCAACAGTGTTTGCCGTTGCACGAATGGGCAGCTCCGTCCGGGTTAGTACCACGACCTCACAGAAGACCGGCGTCAAGTAGAAGTGTTACACTTCTGCGTTTCGTTTGTTGAGTGAGGTAGCCGGGGCCCACTTCATTAAGAAGTGGCAACGCATCTGCATCCCTACGCCTGTTGCAAATGTCCATGGGCAGGTGATTATCACTTAACACCAGGTGAACCGCCAGCTCGATTGCCACTTTCTAAATTTAGATAAAATCACAGAAAATGTATATGGGCTTTGATTTTGAGGCAAAACATATAATAAGTATATGAATGAAATAGTTATACGGTGTTCGATAGTGTTGTATAACATTTTATCTGTATATTAGTTTAAATGATTTACTTAAATTAAAAAAAAACCAAGAAATAGACAACTAAAGTGCCTTTTTAAATAATTTGAAAATATTCATAGAGAAATTTTTCGAGTATGTTATGTGTCATCTTGTGCGTTTCTTTTACAGCAAAACCACTTTTTCATAATACAACATTTTACAATGAAATCTTTGCTATGAAAATTTTTAATGGATATTAATTTTTAAAGTTCTATTCTCTGCACTTAAAATATAATAAAACACAAAGTAGATAAAATACCTTGAGATTTTCGTCGGTGTGAAGATAAGCCGTCTAGCCCAGTGGCCAATCTCGCTCGCAGCGGCAAATCTCCATGTTTACTCAGATTTTTAAAATTTCATCTTTAGCGCAGAGAATAGCAATATAAAAATTAACAGGTATCATTTAAAATATCCGATGCACTAATTTTCAAAAGACACGATTCACCAAATAAACTACTTCCTTCAATAATTAAAAGATAAAAGAAGAATAAATTTTAAGAATCACAGATTGACTAGTGCTTAATTTGACTACCGTTTCAATTGATGGTATTTGGGAGATTGAGTTAGTTTGCGGCTAGACTCCCTAAAAAGTCTAATGTGATTATAATGCATTTGCTGCGGATTTTTCAATGCTATTTTAATTTTTCGTACAACTTTGTTGATGTAAGGCGTCGGATATCATATTTAATAAATATTTGTTCGGTCCCTCACGATAAGAGATGTTATTTGCTAGCAATAAAGATTGCAAAAAAAGGAAAACAGAAGAAAGGTAAACACCTTTCTTCTTGTGTAATATGAAATATGTTTACTTAGCCCTCTTTGAAGCTCCGGCCCTCATGTCCTCTGTATAAAGTTTCAGTAAAATAGCCTCCTCTTGGATCTTCATATTTTGGGCGTCAATTCGGGCCATCCATTTGTTGTTAGCCTGAGAATGTATGTCAATATTAACGAAAAGCCCCGGCTTTGGTAAAAAGAATATTAATTTCCAATTATCCAAAACAAATAATTTTTAATCCTATCTCTACCAAACTACAGGATTTCATCAACATCGGTCCAGACGTTTTGTTGTTAATAGGAAATACAAACATAGATTACCATACATATATTGTGTCTGCTACTATTTCATCTGATCTGAACATACAATATTTAAGTAATTTTGACCTTAATTATGCTAATTTACCGTTAAACGTAAAAAGATGTTAAAAATTTAAAAATTTTTCCGCTTTACATTATATGACATATGTAAGTGAAAGTAACAGATTGATGAACAGACGATATTGAACGCGTGATACGGAAAGAGATAGTAGTCTATGGAATTATAATCTAATTACAACAATTGATGTAATTTGAGTGCTTCAGTTTCGGTGAGCTATGGTCGTATTCATCTCGTATTTGTATACAATATCATTGTCTATGAAATATAAGATAAAAACAAGTGCAATTTAATACCTGGTCTTCTTTTTGTTTCTCCTTCATTTCTCTCTCCTGCTTAAGCCTGTTCAGCCGCTTCCTCTCGTTCGTACGCCACAGCCGCACCATCGTGATCTTCCTCCTTAGCTCCATCTCCGCCGCCGCCTGAACCCTCTGTTTGATTCTGTTTTCCTTCTCACGCGCACGAGCAGCTCTCTCTGTGCGCTGTTTCTCATTGAACTCGGCGAGGTACTGCATCCTCATGCGGATCTTCTTTTCTTGCTCTTTCGCCCTTAAAGTTCAACAACTTTAAAATTGGATCAGAATTTCTACACCGGTCTGTGACACGCCGTTATCAGAGTACTACTAGCATCCTACTTAGATGGACGTAAGTCTCATGTCTCATGTCTCATCAGGTAAACTGCTTTAGCATTTGCCATTTGGGCCTCGCAACAGTCTTTGCTGCAACAAATAGGCACATCCATCCGAGTAAGTACCAAGAACTGACAGAAGACCGGCGTGAAGTGAAAGTGTGATGCTTCTGCGTTTCGTCTGGTAAGTATGTAGCCGTGGCTAAGTTTACTAAAAGGTAGCAACGCATCTCCAACCCTACGGGTGTTGCAAATGTCAATGGGTGGCAGTTATCACTTAGCATCTGTTTGCCGCACGAAGAAAAAATCTTTTTTTTTTTAAGAAATTTCTGTATCTCGTGCGGCAAGTGATGTTTAAATAATTCTTTATATTTATCTATATTTTTAAATTTGGAAATAATTCCCCCAATATTAAAAGATTATTTAAAACTTTTATAATCCCAATATGTGTGACTATACAAAACAATATTTCAACAAAAACGCTACCGGAATTCCTGAAAAATCACCAATTAACAGATACCTATCAAGCGCAATGAAATCAATTGAAACTATTGCATTCAATGCGAACGAAATGAACGGATTTAAAGTAACGAACGTCAACACGCAGAGAAAACTATCAACGGGGTACTAAAAAAGGGTTATTATAATACAAATGAATACATTAATGACAATAACCCCTGGGAATGAGTTGATCGCTCCCAAGCTATTTCTAAAAGGAAAAAAATCAGTTCTATAATTTTTGAATTTTTTCTTAAGAAAAAAAAATAATTACTAAAAAGAGGATACCTACAGAGTTTCTTTCGCCTGTTTCTTCTCCGCTAGAGGAACCTCATTACGAAACGGTGGTAGATTTAAAAAACCCTACTCGCTTGCACAAGTTGCAAGTAGTGCAAAATAGGTTCATCCGCCGCGCAACCGGTGCGCAGTGGTATCAACGCAACGTCAACCTGCACAGTGATTGCAGACTCCCGATGATTCGCGAATTTTTCAAAGACCTGACCAAACGGTTCTTCGATAGAGCCGAACATCATCCCAACCCTTTGGTGGTAAGCGCAGCAAATTACCAACCCGATCTAAACGCGAGCGTCAACAAGCGTCGCTCGCGAAACGTCCTCATCGACCCGGTCGAGGAAGGGGACTTAAGTACGTCGGACCCACCGTCGGGGGTCCCGCCGGATAACACTACACACACAGTTAGTGTAGCAACAAACACATTAGTTCGCCCTCGCCTCCGAGCACGGCGAGACCAACACAACGCGTACACAAGGTACACCCGCGTTCCAGGGCGGTTCTCACCGCCCCCAGCCACCGATTAGCTAAAATCACAGTCGACGACCATCGGGGTCTCGGTCCGCACCGCTACTTCGATGGCCCTTAGATGACATGCCGTAGTTAAACGCACGCATGAGCACATGCGCGGCCCTACCCACAGCGGAGGGCCCAAACTCGTGGGTTCTGGCTAGCCCACCGGTTCTGCGTCAGATGAAGCTTTAATAGTCTCTGGACTGAAAGCACAAACATCAGTTAATACAAAAAAAAAACATAATACAAAAGATTAAAAAAAAATATGACTATTGATAAATGAAATGTATGTTTCTTATTTCGATGAATAAATGATTTTGATTTTGATTTTGACTAACAAAAAAACGTGGAGTTTAAAGGACTTATAAACCCGCTTCAAAGGGAGGAGATTCTCCATTCGATTTTTTTTTTATGTTTGTTACCTCAGAAATTTTGACCGAGTGAATCGATTTTGATGATTCTTTTTTATTTGAAAGGTGGTGCTTCCTATGTGGTCCCATATTAATTTCATTGGTATTGGACCTTGGGCTCCGGAGATACTTAGGGAACTCCTGAAAATCAATTATAAAATGAATACAGAGCGAGATATTTGAAGTCGGTTTTGAATTTCGTTAGTAAAGAAAATGGTTATTTTACATGCAGCGAAACCGGGCGACGCGATTCAAAAGCGACGGTAAAACATTGAAAGCGCTGGGAGGCGTCGAGGCAACGGTGCACCGCGCTCCGATGCGTTCTTTTAATTAAGACGGCCGAGGGCTGGTTGTGCGAGCACTTTTAACCACGTTTAGCATTCGTGACACGATTTTCTCCACAACCCGAGACCTCTCAAATTCGGCTTTGAACGGAACAGCATGCACTCGCAATGTTCATTCCTCGTGTTGTGAGTTCTGGCGGGAATGTTTTATCCATAGGTACGTTTATACATTAAGACAATGACTTTTATTATTTTAAACGCAAACGGATTAGGTATAGTGAGCCTCTGGAGCCAATGGTGGGTATACGTCTGAGTTTTCCTTAAGATTGCAAGTCCAATATTCAAAACGTCGTTAAAAGAGATATTGTATACGTGCAAAGTATCTATACAATATCTCCTTTTAACTATTTATTTTTGTTTTTATATGCCCTATAAATGAATATAGCTGCCTTGATCGCCGTGATGACCATAATACATGACCACATAACTTAGAATAAGTTTTAAGTTCACTGTGTAGCTATTAACTTAATATAATTAGTCACAGTCGGGGTAGTCTTTACACTTTACATTATTAACATCACTTTTCTGAAACAATACACCGAGGATAAGGAATTTTATAAGCTTTTACCAACAAATTGAGATATACGCACATGGTTGAACACGACGTGGGAAAGAGAGCTTAGTGTGGAGGTAAATAGAAATAAATTGTTGTTGTAAATCAGCCCCACGCGCGGCTCGGGCTCCGCTTTACAACATTCTAGTAATCTCCACCCTTTCGTAAGTTGAGCGAAGATAGCGGCAATCTTGGCTAGTTGAAGCGTGGCAAGATTTGCATTTTGCAACCCCACCGAAATGCATAATGGGTCGCCGGCACCAGATGTTGCCCGAGTGTCACTCGTAGAACTTACCTGCGGCGATATTGAACTGAAAGTGTTTACTTCAAAGCGACAACGTTTCCCATTGTAAGATGAATATTTCTTGTTACTTGACGAAATCCAATGATTTTTTTATGAAGTCTCTTTTATTCAATAGCTAGCGACCCGCCCCGGCTTCGTACGGGTGCAATGTATTATACAGCGTGTCGTTACCATCGTGACAATAAACGAACACACAGCGTTAGACACGCTACTTGCCAATAATCATTAAAAAATATTAACGTTAAATAAAATCCATAATTAAAAAAAATATTTTTCAAACAAACTAATTAAGTAAAAAAGAAACAAAATTTGTAACACCTATACAACTACAACTGACTGATTCATACATTCAGAGACTTCTTCATTCGTTGCCACAGCGTCGCATTACAAGCCTCTCCTTCTAACAGTATGTTTTGTCTCTTTTAAATTCATTCAACCCATTCATATGCGACCTTTTAACTTTGTGACCTTTACAAATGAACTTTACGTTACAGTTTTATACGTAAAGGTGTTCTAAAATTCTTTGTTTTGGAAAATTTAATAACTCTGTAAATATTGATGTTTAAAGAAAGTAAATGTTTAATATAATTTAAAAAAAATTATCCTCTATATGTGTGTTCATTTATTGTCGCGATGGTAAAGACACGCTGCTTATATGAACCTTCCTCTTGAATCACTATACCTAGTAAAAGAAAAACCGCATCAAGATTCAAGATTCGTTGCGTAGTTTTAAAGATCTAAGCTTACATGGGGACAGACAGACAGCGGGTAGACTTTGTTTTATACTATGTAGTGATTACGATTAATTAAGCACTATTGCAAGGAAGTGTAGACATATTTTCCAACCATTGAATTTGCAGTGTGCCGAAACGAAATTTATGCCCTACAGTCAGAATTTATAGGTGTAATAAATAATTTTGCTTAAATTACATTAATATGGGACATGGGACCAGCTATAATATTGTAGTAAATAACGTGCATTACTTAAGAAACTGAACAGAACCTTTCTTAAATAACGGGGAAATGTTTCCGAAATTTCAATAGTGAAGAAGGTTGAGTGCTACAATCAGCTTGGTATCTTATTATGAATAAAATTAAATCTAGGACCAAACGAACCACTACTGCAAGACAAGATAAAATTAGCATGTTCTGCGTAGATCGAAACAAAAATTAATAGTTAAAAACTGGCGCTAGCCGGATTAACTATGACATTCAGACGTCCAACGCCGCAGTCTGTCCCGTGACCATGAACGCTGTAAAGGGTTCGAAACATCGGGAATTAAAACGAAAAATAAACGCGATAAATCCTTAAACATAGTTTCAGTTAACTTATGCCGTCATTATACAGACGTTGCATCCGAATGGTTCATGCAAATGCGGTAACCGAGTTCTGAAGCTCGGCGCGCAGTTGATTGACGAATAGTTAGTTGCTTCACAAACAAGGAGCCGGGACCGGATGCAAATATCGAGACAAAGAGCTGAACATTGGAGATGTACCTCGACCGCTCGAACATTCTAAATGTAAACGGGATATTCGTGCCTTTGGGAATGTACAGTATTTCGTAATATTAATATATCCTACACATGATTTACTCCATATTTAACTGTGATAGCAGCACGCAGTTTTGGGACTGGCTCGTCTGGGAATGTCACACGACCTCCTAGAAGACCGGCGTAAAGCCGTTCCGATAATACTGCCTTAAGTCGAAGGACCTTTCTCACCAGAAAGGTCCACTTTTCCGGGTTCCGTACACAAAGGGTAAAACGGGACCCTATTACTAAGACTTCACTGTCTATCTGTCTGTCTATCTGTCTGTCTGTCTGTCTGTCTGTCTGTCTGTCTGTCTGTGTCTGTGTGTCTGTACTTCTGTCACAAGGCTGTATCTCATGAACCTTGATAGTTAGACAGTTGAAATTTTCACAGATGGTGTATTTCTGTTGCAGCTATTATAACAAATATTAAAAAACAGAATAAAACATCTTTAAGTGGGGCTCCTATACACCATAC